CGCTTTACAATAGGGACCATATCTTCTGAAATAATTTACGATATAACAACCTAGTTCAGCTGAGAATTTCCTCATTTCATATAGCCATTCATGACGTCATTTTGATGACCACATGCATGTCAAGAAGGAAATCAAATCACCTAGATGAAAACTATACGTTCACGTGGTAATGGAACAAATATATAAAAGGCCATCGAGAGCAGCAGAATTTTCTCTCCTGCTTAAAAAAATGATATTTATAAAGAGGAACTACAAGTGGTCTCTCATTTGAAAAAAAAAAAGGTTTTGAAACGAATCAGAATGATGACGATAAAGGATTCGTTGTTTATCCTTATACGAGAAACAGATATATGGATAATCCTGTATTTCATTGACCTATGACCTCGAACAGATATATACTACTCTGGTATATTATCATAATGGAAATGAAGAATATGCTACAATTTGTAACATGAAAAAAAAAACTTACATTTGAAGCCAAATGAAAACCACGCACTGTATTTGTTTTGTATTTCTATCGGCTGTTGTCTATTATTTTAGGTTATCTATTGTTTAAATGTAGCTATATTTATAGACATATAACTTATTATATCGCTTCGAACCTTTGTGATGACGTTATGAATCTAAACTCCTTTACTTTTATTTTTGAAACAAATTTTTAAATAAAGTCTGAATAAGTTCCTCTTTCTTAAAAATATTCGGTTAGTAGTGTCATACTCATCAGAAGTACAAAATTACTCACCGTCTGTGACGCAAATATATCTGTGTTTCTCCTTGTTTACTGGTATCGACGGAAGTGACCTGTTTACTGGCGGGGATGTGTCAGAGACATACTCCTCGACCTCTAATCGAGAGTCTTCTAAAATAGAAACCAACTACGTAATTATGTATAAATCATTACTGGCTCGTTTTAAAATGAACTCTTTATTTGTACTTTTCGACACTACACTGTATGGTGCAGATTATGAATACATAAGTTATTCTGAGTCTCCTAAATTGATGTGACAATGTTTTATATTATACTTGTGTGTATTTTGCAAACTCTCTTGAAGCAGAGATTAAGATACTCTGTTATGAAAACATTGCTGACGTCACATACAATAAGACACTACACTATTATACAGGAGCTTGAACAACTTTTCAAATCATATCAAATGGCGCTTGCGCAAAAAAAGTCAGATCAAAATGAAATATTTCTAGAAATCAAAAAAATAATTAGAATGCCATGCATGAATTGTTTTTGTACGATATCAACACAGATATTTTGCAAACATTCGACCTTATAAGGTTTTTTTTTATCTTTTTTTTGAATCAACAATCTACTTTATTTGAAATAGTTAAAAAGACACAAAAAATATAGTGAAAGTTGTGACAGCACAATGGGAAGGGATTGTAAAAAAGACAAAATAGTGAGTGACAAGATATTGTATTTGTCGAACTGTTTATAATAACTATTTCCTACAGCTGGTTCGTCCTTTATACTGATGTTAAGGTTAAAATAACGGAATTCACAGAAAAGAAGTAAAAGTTTTGAAATAAGAAATAAATAAAACAAACGTTCAAATAACGAAAAAGTGGTGAAGTAAACAGATTGCTAGAATCAAAGGGAGATTACAGTTTAGATGCAATATTAAAGCAAAAAATGTAAAAAAAATGTAAAAAAAAAATTAAGGTGATATTGAGATTTATTCACGACTTAATATCTACCTGTATTATTCTTTAAGATACAAGTAAAAGGTTCCCTATTCCATAGCCAAATGGCAAGGTGTGCTGTTGAACATCCTGTGATTTCCTCATATTGTTGTAAATGACGTTGATAAGCCAGCACCCCGTGGTAGTCCATCATACAATTAATGTTCGCTCTTAAGCATGTTGCTGATTTCATTACGAAAAAATGGGCCCCATAAGCTGTAATAAAGACACAATGAAAAATAATACGTTTCGTTTTGCCTCAATTTCGTGGCAATGAAAAACATGATAAAAGCAGGATAAAAGTTATCTCGAAAATAATAAAAATACATCCATGTAATAGAGTTTTGATAAAAACCCATGCATACCAGAATGTAACAGGAAGCACATAGACATGATAACAGCACATCGGAGCAGGCAAAATAATGTAGATTTCTCCTCCATAGCGTCTCCTGTATATAAAACTCCGAAGGAAAATTGGCTAAATTTAAAGGTGGCAGGATGAATTAAATCCGGTTTGAACGTCGTCGTCATTTCCTTTCAGCAAAATAGGTTCAGTACTGAAGTTTATATTGTTTAATATGAGACTTTTAATGATGTAAGAGCTAATGTTTCTCCGGACGAGATGGAGACAGTATTCTGTCCACTTATCTCCGGTATTTGTAATATCTTATTTTTAAGAACGTGTACTTCAACCTATCACGGAGATTGGTGACGAAATTTATACTCTATTTGTTAATCTTTACTAAGTCACAGCAAAGACTTTAACCAGATTTTCATAGGTTGAAACATGATAAGTATACGCAACATCGGAAGGCACTATGTTAAAAAAAACTCTAACTTTCTCTCTTCTGGTAGTATTAAACTTCCGTCAAACTCGATAAATGATATTATCAACCTGTTTCACAACACAGTCTTCCTGGCCTCAATTTCCACTGCCACCAGTGAACATAAAAAGAAATTAAGTCATTTATATTCTTATTACAAGATTTTGAGTGACAAAAATATTTTACATGTTGCAAAGGGTTTATTTGACGTTCTTCTATCATCAGATATATGAAAAGATGAAATGCACTGAGTGCATCTCCTCATGTAGATTTTGACTTTTCTTTCGATCACTGTTATTTTCCTTAGTCGCCTCCTAGGCTACAGACTTGGGTGCGATATTTCTCAGTCACCTCCTAGGCTAAAGGCTTGGGTGCGATATTGCTTAGTCGTATCTTAAGCTATAGGCTTGGTGCGATATTTCTCGGTTGCCTACTGGGCTACAGACCTGGGTGCAATATTTCTCGGTCGCCTCCAAGGCTACAAGCTTGGTGCGATATTTCTCAGTCACCTCCTAGGCTACAGGCTTGGGTGCGATATTTCTGAGTCGCCTACTAGGCTACAGGCATGGTGCGATATTTCTCAGTCACCTCCTAGGCTGCAGACTTGAGTGCGATATTTCTCAGTCGCCTCCTAGGCTACAGACTTTGGTGCGTATTTCTCAGTCGCCTCCTAGGCTACAGGCATGGTGCGGTATTTCTCAGTCACCTCCTAGGCTACAGACTTGGGTGCGATATTTCTGAGTCGCCTACTAGGCTACATGCATGGTGCGATATTTCTCAGTCACCTCCTAGGCTACAGACTTGGGTGCGATATTTCTCAGTCGCCTCCTAGGCTACAGACTTGGGTGCGTATTTCTCAGTCGCCTCCTAGGCTACAGGCATGGTGCGATATTTCTGGGTCGCCCCCAAGGCTACAGGCATGGTGCGATATTTCTCAGTCGCCTCCAAGGCTACAAGCTTGGTGCGATATTTCTCAGTCGCCTCCTAGGCTACAGACTTGGGTGCGATATTTCTCAGTCGCCTCCTAGGCTACAGGCTGGGTGCGATATTTCTCAGTCACCTCCTAGGCTACAGGCTGGGTGCGATATTTCTCAGTCACCTCCTAGGCTACAGGCTTGGTGCGGTATTTCTCAGTCACCTCCTAGGCTACAGACTTGGGTGCGATATTTCTCAGTCACCTCCTAGGCTACAGGCATGGTGCGATATTTCTCAGTCGCCTACTAGGCTACAGGCATGGTGCGATATTTCTCAGTCGCCTCCTAGGCTACAGGCTTGGTGCGATATTTCTCAGTCACCTCCTAGGCTACAGGCTTGGTTTGATATTTCTTAGTCATCTCCTAGGCTACAGGCTTGGTGTGATATTTCTCGGTCGACACCGAGGCTATAGGCTTGGTGCGTATTTCTCGGTCGACACCTAGGCTACAGACTTGGGTGTGATATTTCTCAGTCACCTCCTAGGCTACAGGCTTGGGTGTGATATTTCTGACTCGCCTCCAAAGCTACAGTCTATACAAATAGTCCTCGTCTAAGTCTGATCGTAAAAATTTGCATAGTTTTGTTGAAATATTCACGCATTTGATATGTTTCTATGAAAAAACAATTTAAAGGGTTGTTTATAACATATAAAGTATTAAAATTGAAAGATACAAATAAAACAGTTTGAAGACAATAGGATTTTTGCGCCTTTGTTAACTACAACCATTTAAGATGATAAATTGCCTATCAATATATGGGTGGATCTCTTCTCACAAACACGACAAGCAAGAAACGATGAAAATAAGATAAAAATAGCGGAAATAATAAAAGAGAAGTATGAAATGCCTTTATGATCAAGTGATAAAATGCATTGAGGTAGGCGTGCAGACTCAGGTAGGTAACTTGGTACAAAAATGCAAGGGAAGAGAAACAGGAAGTTACCAGGTATCGTGAATATATAATTAGTAGGAATTGGTAGGTATATGTAGGTAGAGGTTTGCACGTGCATGTTAAAGCTAACTGAACTTATACCCATATTACCGGGCATAGTGTATATATAATTAGTAGGAATTAGCAGGTACAATGTATATATATATATGTAGAGTTTTATACGGACAGCTTGTCACCTTGTATAAGGTACGGTATGTCTAAAAAAAAAATAAAACCTGTAGTGCCCGGTAACCAACAAGTTAATATCATGACGTCATACTAGAATAATAGTATTTTATACCAGGTCTGTTGAACAGGAAGTGTTATCGATTGATACTATATATATCCGATTGTCGCTAACACTACCAAAGCGTGGCTCACGCCTACGTCACGGCTGATAGGCCATATGTACCGACAGGGAAATAGGTCAGATTTGTGTTGATGACACCGTGTTGGAAGAACTCAGACGATGGCTATTGTGCATCATCTTGTGAGGGTAATCGTATCCGCCTTATCGATATATCAGGTAGGTCAATGCCTTCTACATAGATATATGTATGTGTGTCGATCTGTACAAATATGCCGGTATGTACACATTGATAACGCACACACATATATACATATAAGGCTTTATATATTTGAATCGCACAAAGAACCCTATACAGACGCTATTTATAACTAATTTATACATCTACCAGTTTAATGGTTGTGACTCGCTCTTATACATAGGAATTATTTTTAGTTGTTTTTCTCTACAAGTCGCGTCTGATTTCTGTCATATCTCGGGTAAAATCTGTCTGTGTAACCGGTAGTACACATGCTGATCTTTAATAGATGAAATGTATCCTGGTGTGATATGAAAGTCTGACCCCCGTTGAAATAGTTCCTGCGTCAACACGCTCTATTTCAAAATTGTGTCTTATGTTAATTACCAAAAACTTTTTTTTTATTTGTAACTGATAGTGCTGTTTATACGATGTAAATTAAGGTTTAACTGAAATCCCGTACAGGAAATCAACAAAGATTACAGGTCTGTTTTCATCCCATGTATAATCGTTTTATGCGTAATGTTATTGAAATATTAAACAGACTATTGTTTAAACTTTGTCCCATATATTATAGCCGTTGTCGACTTAATGATTAAAAAATGTCCGTATGAACGAGAATTTGTAGAACCTGTGTCTATATCAAGCAGAAATAGATAGCATATTTATTTAGAATCGTCACTGTTTTCACTTACAATATATTGAGTTCAATGGCCATTAATGGAACAGAAGCATTTGTCTTTCTACATTTACACTTTGTATCTGCATTAAAAAAGGCCACGTGGACCTGTATTGCTTGCTCGTACGTGATCTTAACAAAAATCACAAATACTTAAAAAACAAATTTGGAAATTTGGAAGACAAAACTCTCACCATCAGTCGGTGAAACTTTCTGTGACCGAACAAGTACCAATATTGTCAAATCATTTCATTATTCTGTTGCTGATTGGCTTATTTGGAACGTCATCACAGATCTTTCATGTAGTTGTTTATGAATAAAACATAAATAGATTAATTCGAGCTTATTCCACTAAACCATCAGTATTGAGAAATTCTTCTGGGTTTTCAATTCATCATATACGAATGTAATCATTATTTCATTAAAAGTAGATTTACATAATTATTTTTTATGAAACTTTATTGTCTTTCCTGGTATACAACAACCAAGATACTGATATATCAGGTACCGAAATAAATCAGTATACAAGGATCTGAAGTTTGAGGTTAAATTCATTCTTGGTACATAATTATAGCCTTTTATCAAGCAGTCAATATTCAGAATTAGATCGATATTAATGCAAGACACTGTCAAAAAAGCAGATTTATTGATCTCTTGTAATTCTTTTTTGATAAAGTAACGCTTGATATAAATCTGGTCTATATTTCTTTCAGATCAACACACTCTTGGGTATCAACTTTGCATTCTCCAGTCGTGGATTACTCGAATGTCCTGAAGACTATTACCAAGTAGAGTTCTCATCCACATGCGCTAAAGTTTGCCCGCCGGATGCGCCTTTGAACTTCCGGAACTTATGCCAGACGTTTTGCCCATATGGGTATGAATACTCACAAGATTCAAGGGACACTACAACATGTAGTAATTGGACAGAACTATCAGAATTCAATTCCTCAAACCGCTGCCAAGTGAATTCTTGCCCGAGTGTTAAGCCGTTATGTTACGGCAAGAAGTGTCTTTCCGATTGTCCGAATGGTACTATTACAGAAGAGGGAAATTGTTCGTTTAATTGTTCCAATGACTCTAGATTTATTTTAGATGACTCTTGTGTGTCGATTTGTCCTACAGAAAAGCCATATGACGAATACGGACATTGTGTATCAGCATGCTCGCCCGAGTATTTCATGTACAAGCGAAAGTGTATGAAATCATGCCCTCGTCAGACACACCATTATAATAATACATGCGTTGAAACATGTCCAACGGAGGCTTCAAAGTCTCTCCAAGCCTGGAACATAACATTTTGCGTCACTTCCTGTCCAAGCTTTACATCCGTTAATGAAAGTCAGTGTGAAGTGGAGTGTCCAATTGGAAAAGACTATCTGTGGAACAATTCATGTGTCAATAAATGTCCAGAGTTGTCTCCTCTTGTGTATGTCCTGACCCGCCGCGTTCCGCCATATAAAATACCAATATGTACTCCAAAGTGTCCCCCTGAATTTTATCTCCAAGGAAACCATTGTGTACCAAACTGCACATTCTCACAATATCACATGAATTTTACATGTGTATCAGAATGTTCATTATCGCACCCATATTTCACAGGAACAGTACCTCCTTTCCAATGTGTCAGGGATTGTGAAATTGATCAGATGCGATATGAAAACCACTGTGTTAACAAATGTCCAACAGATCAGTTTATATTTAATAAAACATGTGTTGATGACTGTCCAGTAACACACAATTACAAAGTCAACCAAACCTGTCTGTCGCGCTGTCCGCCGTCAATGGTATTGTATAATGGGTCCTGTCTACTCACGTGTCCAGCCGATGCTGTGTATCTATATGAAGGACAGTGTCATTCTGAATGTCCAGTCACGCATCCATCTCATCACCATGCAGAGAATGGAGTAGTGGTATGTCAACCCACCTCTCATTGCCCTAAAGGAGAATTCTCTTGGAATAATAACTGTTTTTATCAATGTCCAGATTACACGGTTTTTATCAATTCAACGTGTCTGACACAATGCCCTTTGTCTCACCAGTTTAAATACCGAAGTGACAATCATCGATCTCTTTTGTCATTTGAATGTGTTGCGGAATGTCCGGAGAATACATTTATGAAGGAGGAATATTGCTACGACCATTGCGATTCTTCATTGGTAGGGTTCTCTGGTAACCATACTTGTTTAGAGCGTTGTCCTGATTCAGATCACTGGCGTTCTGTTACAAAAACAATTACCAACCAATTAGCCTTCACGTGTGCTTCTAATTGTTCTTCTCCGCGATTGATTTATGAAGATCAATGTCTTCTTACATGTCCTAACTCGAAACCATTCACTGTGAATCAAACTTGTTCTGAGAAATGCCCAAACAATGCAAGTTTGATATTACCGTTCGAAAATGGTATGAAATGTTTGAAGACTTGTCCCGATACACATATACAGGATGATGATACATGTGTGTTGAAATGTTCTCCAGGTAAAGTGATAATTGACAACACGTGCGTGGATGTAAAATTCTGCGTCAATGAGTACCAATTTATTGAGTATTCGCAACATGGTACTATATGCCGGAAGCGGTGTTTGGACAACCAGTTTGTTGATAACATCCGGTGTGTGACGTCATGTCCACAATTTTCTGTCGGTAAATATTGTGTTGCCAAGTGTCCAAGCTTCCAAAAATTTACACGAGTTCATAATTCAACAGACGAACATGCTGCCAAAATATGTTACGAAGAATGCCCAAGAAAAACATACGCGAACGGAACCAAATGTATAGACATTGATTGTCCAATGAAATACTTGGGTGACACTAGAAAATGTGTTTCAGCGTGTACGGTCTCCCATCCGTATCTACAAGACATTGATATGTGTGTTAACAAATGTTCCAACGGCTATGTCATCACCACTGACAACAGATGCATACAACAACAACAATGCTTAGAGGAGGCAGGATTCTTTGTGTACGGAGGACAGTGCATTAACTCGTGTCCTGCTGGCACCTATGCTAATTATTTCAATAACAGTTGTATTTTATCTAGCGTTGTGTATCTGATGATATTAGCCTCAGTAATTTGTACTATTTTGGTAACTGCCGGAGCCGTTTGGCTCTATTACTACAGAAAGAAAAAGTATTGCAAGAACTGTTTCTCAAAAACACAGGTAAGTTTAAAGGTTGATTTCAGATATATAGTGTTAAGATTATATAAACATTTGAAGATAATTAAAACGCGATATTAGTATGCAATGCATTTTAAAAAAACATATTAAGAATTAAGAAAACGCATTGAAAATTATCTGCAACATGTATATAATAAACATAAGATAATTAGATTAACAGAATATTGATTATCACCATGTCTTATATCATAGTTAAAAGAGAAGTGTTTTCTATTACAAGTGTCATTTTATTATATGTTTTTGTGTTATGTATTTTGTGAATGATGATAAAATGACATGCTTCACTGAATATGCGGTGACATCACAATGCCTATAGAAGAAAGATGACGCCAACAATTACAAGGACAAGAAATGGTTGCGAACATACTTGTTTTCGTATTATAGAATATTTTCTTTGGGTTGGTAATGTCAATAGAATAGAAGTTCTTATAACACAACCAGTAGAAGATTAAAGTGTGTCGTTTTGATGACTACACGGTCACCTTCATCAGACAAATGACCAGTTTGGAGCGCACTAGCACTGACGTATGTAGTGTACGCGATGGTACGGAATCGACCAGTATTTTCGGTTGTACTATGATAATAGGGACGAGGGGGAGTGGGGCCCAAAGACTCTTGCACATCTATCACCAAGTGTTAAACAAAGCGTAACCGAATTTCTACGTACTTTGTTCCCATCTGGTGTATTTTTGTATATAATCTTTTAACCATCTGTATCCTTTATACATGTACATCTTATTAATGCGATGGTTTTGTTAAGAACATTCCTTTTTGTTTTAGGAGCATTGTGTTGGTGACACTCCGCTGTTAACAGAAGACGTACTGTCTGAGGGATATGCCTTAACAGATCTAGCCAATGACCCTCCAAGCAAGACGGATGTGGTTTCCTGATTAATGTTCAACAGGAAGAATGACAATTAAGGAAGAACTCATACTGTATGAGGTACTCACAGAAGGCTGTAAAATGCGCCGGTATCGTCCATAACATTTCAGTTGGTTATACATTACTGTCAACAAAAAGAATACAGACACCTTGAGAAGAGGACACAATAACTTCCAACATCTGGAAGTTTTTGTACATCCAATGTGTACAATAAATTCCTAGATTTGGAGGTTATTGGACGCTGATGTGTGCAATGATTTCCACGTTATTGCACACTAAATTATACAGCAACTTTCGTTTTTAAGCCACCGTGATGACTGTGCAAGGCCATACTTGTATTCAGCAGTATGCCTAATCATGTAAAAAAACCTGTTTGCTGAAAGTAACAACGGGTATTTCGTATTTCGAAAAACACTGAGTCATCGACAGGCCGGAAATCCCATCAAAGCTTTCACTTCGTTTTATATATCCTCGCACGCTTGAGACAACACTAGGTCATCGAAGTCATCCTCCGGCAACGACAGGAAATCCAGTTCTTTCATATTGAGAGTAGAGCTAGCAGAGGGAGGAGTTGCCATCCTTCTGCTTTCGAAACACAAACGAAAAGTTGTGAGAAACTCGATGCAGGAAGTCGGGTTCGGGTTGAACTACTAATTGATTGTTGATTGTTTTTGGCGGGAAATGTACTCATAATTGATAGTTGATTGCTTTTGGCGGGAAATGTACTCAGCAACTCAGGACAAATGTGATTGGTTAGTGGCAGTTGATTGACGAACCATGATACAAGCCAGTTATTGAATGTCAATAGACTCGTGTACATTCGGTATTTCGATGGGCGTGACTCGTTCGTAAACGCCCACCGAAATATCTCGTGATACACTTTTCTAGACATCGTAAACGCCCACCGAAATATCTCGTGATACACTTTTTTTATTGATTCAATTCGGTTGCTAAGTAACAAATGAATGTGATATTATGAGATAATAACTCCTAAGAAATCCATTGTTTTACTCTCTTGTTTGTTATTTTGTTTATTTCACTGATGTGCTATATTAGGTAAACAGAAGTTACTTGATCATCAACACGTCTTGATTTGGAGTTGAAAATAAATATAAAAGGCTGTTGATATTATTTTTTTCCCTGAAATACTGTGAATTTAATATTGCTTTCTGTCATTTCCACAGTCTGTGCCATATCAATTTTATCGTTTAATATGCATTTAGATATTGCACTACTTTTAAGCTGCAATCATTTGCATCAGTTGTACATTTCTGCTGTTGAAATAGTTGTGAGGTATACATCAGTGTTACAATAGTTGTGAAGTATACATCAGTGTTGAAATAGTTGTGAAGTATACATCAGTGTTGAAATAGTTGTGAAGTATACATTTGTGTTACAATAGTTGTGAAGTATACATCAGTGCTACAATAGTTGTGAAGTATACATCAGTGTTACAATAGTTGTGAAGTATACATCAGTGCTACAATAGTTGTGAAGTATACATTTGTGTTGAAATAGTTGTGAGGTATACATCAGTGTTACAATAGTTGTGAAGTATACATCAGTGTTACAATAGTTGTGAAGTATACATCAGTGTTACAATAGTTGTGAAGTATACATCAGTGTTACAATAGTTGTGAAGTATACATCAGTGTTACAATAGTTGTGAAGTATACATTTGTGTTGAAATAGTTGTGAGGTATACATTAGTGTTACAATAGTTGTGAAGTATACATCAGTGCTACAATAGTTGTGAAGTATACATCAGTGTTACAAGAGTTGTGAAATATACATCAGTGTTACAATAGTTGTGAAGTATACATCAGTGTTACAATAGTTGTGAAGTATACATCAATGTTACAATAGTTATGAATTATACATTTGTGTTGAAATAGTTGTGAAGTATACATCAGTGTTACAATAGTTGTGAAGTATACATCAGTGTTACAATAGTTGTGAAGTATATATCAATGTTACAATAGTTGTGAAGTATACATCAATGTTACAATAGTTGTGAAGTATACATCAGTGTTACAATAGTTGTGAAGTATATATCAATGTTACAATAGTTGTGAAGTATACATCAGTGCTATAATAGTTGTGAAGTATACATCAATGTTACAATAGTTGTGCATTATGTATAAGTATGTATAACTATTATGAAGGACACATTCCTGTTATGGTACCAGTCATGTAAAGCATGTGATTACATACTAGGGTCGTTGTTTTGAATTTCCGCAAATCATTTTTGTGTTATCCTGAGAATGTGATATTGACGATTTACAAATGTTTAAACACTGTTTTCAACATAAGTGTGTTGTGTTATTGCTGCATAAGAAATAACTAGAAACTATAACTAGGTAACAATAACTAGGTTACTATGACTAGGAAACTATGACTAGGTAACTATGACAATTTAACTATTACCAGGTAACTATAACTAGGTAACAATAACTAGGTTACTATAACTAGGTAACTGTAACTAAGTAACTATGACTAGGTAACTATAATAATTTAACTATTACCAGATAACTATGACTAGGTTACTATGTCTAGGTAACGATAACTAGGGATACTCTGACTTGCTTATAAGATGTACAAAATTCTATTCTGTTAATATTGTGGAATATTTTTATGATATATGTCTTTTAAATGTTCCTACATGTCATGGATGTTTTGCCATGACCAAGCGCGCAGTGTGATAGATATATTTTTTCGTACAATATCTACGTATTTCGTTGTAATTTATTATACTTCACAAACACTCCTTAACTTTTAAAAACGTTGTTTAGCTCGATTTTTTTCAAATGAATACCCCCAAACAGTCTATTTCCAGTGAGAAGTGACAATTTGATTTATATCAATCATATATTGACAAATTACCATCACTTTCGATCATGACGATTTGTTATTTCACTTCCAAATTTTTTCAATTTTTAAAAATTGTTTTTTTTTTATAGGAAATCAACTGAAATTTATATAAGATTGATTTCAAAATGACAAATATTTATGTAAGTATTTTTCATGACTTCGCAGGAAATATTCCTCGATAGTAGGTCATGCCAACAGGTGTAAATATTCAACAAATATAACACGTCCAACAATTTAAATATAATGTGAATTTATTCTTACATGTTTTAATCAGTTTCATGCCTTATGGTAAATATCGCTTTTTTAAAAAAGAAATCATGCTGCATTTTAAATCTATTTTGCTTACAGCAATTTTACTCTCAATTACCTGGTCACTCGGAAACTTCTGGCTTTTTCCGAGAACGGGAAAAGTACTTTCTAGTTACGAAAAATGCATAATGTTCACGATTTGTTACTAGTCTATCTATCTATGTTGTTATCGCTTTTGATATTTGTTTACTATTTGCATAATTTCATGTTATATGTGCATTTTCGATCTCTGTCTAGTCTTTAATAAAAAAAATATTGTAAAACTACAGAGAGTGAAATTAAATATATTACTGTGTTTTGTGTTTATTTTGAAACAATGGCTTTGTGACCACCAGTAATGCGAGTGATTAGTTTCAGAGCTTTCTTAGAAACAGAAACACATTCGTGAACATTTGTATCAAACAGAACATACAAATTATTATAAACCAAATTTTCGCGGTGTTTCAAAAGCTCGAAACAAACAAGTTGTGGTTTATTTGCTTCTTTTGGCAATCCATCATCATCGAACAATGAGGATGGTACACTGGTGAGTTCGTATGAGAAGATCGTGGAATCATATTTGCTGCCGCTATAAGCCGCTCTTATTTCATCTGGAAACTGCTACACATGTTTCGATATTTCGAAGTATTGCGTCACCTGGAGTAAAGGGGCTTCTGTCCCTGAGAAACTGCAAAAGCAGTTTTACATCTTTTGCGTCCCATTTCTGCCTTGCCAATGTTTGTTCTTTATGCTGTTCACTTGTGCATTAGTTAACGTCAGTGATAGATTGCATTTCGTTATTAATTTCTGCACATACTGGCACTCACTTAGCTCGCTGGACATTCGTCATACCCCTTTCTCTTGTAAGGCCACCAAATGTTTTAAGACTTCTCATTAAAACCTGCCCAATGATGAGATCAGAGGAAAGACCTGCCCAGAAGCGATCAGTTCTTAGCAAGACACGGTGTCCCTTTAAGAACATATCGTAGACTTGAGGATGTGTGTCTTCAAGCTGTGTCATGTGATGTACACGTAGGCAGATTTCAGGTACAAATTATGTCCTGCAGCAACAAAATATGGGAGCATATCACATACCAACCGAAGGTGTAAGCGCCAATTTCCAGTGCGTTCTGCACTCAAGAAAGATTTTAGAATTGATATCATCTATATATGTGCTATCCACAAACTGGCAGTACGACATCCCCTCATTGATTCTTTGTGTCCGTTTCCACGAGTTCCAGCAACCTGTTGGTCTGATCTTTCTTCCAAATAATCAGTTATTTTTTCATCTGTTTATTGCGCCTTGCCAACTTTGGGGTCCCACTTGTGGAAAAGGAAAACGCCTTGGGGACATTTCGGTTTGTTCTGAAGTTTACATGACAGGTTTGATGATACAAACCATCTGCTTGATTTTTGGCAGATTGGACATGCTGGGGCATGATTTTCCTTGTTACCTCAAATGAATACAGTAGAAATAATGCCAGAATTTGTATGACAGAAATTCAAATACATATATATTAAGTTTACATTCGAAACCATCTAAAACACTGATTGCAATGTGTCTACATCTGTTGTTGATTCCAACTTCCTTATAAAACTTTTACCATTTTATTCTAATTAAGTAAAGAAATAAAGAAATATAAGAAAACAGAAATAAATGGAATAAAAATGTTCTCTTTGTCATCTTCATGTGCTTGCAGTTTATGCGGCGAACTTCGTGTAGAAATTCAGGACTAAATAAAACAAACTAAATGTAAATTAGGTAATATAAACACAACCATAAAAAAACAACAACAAAAGATTGTCATGGTTATCAGGTGTTATTGTTTTGTTAGAAAAAAAACAAACAAAAAGAAATAGTGTTATTTGGAAATATCTCACATGATTTTGTTTAAATATAAGTACCAGCAGTTTACCTGAGAGAAGCTGGTTACTGAGATGTGAGAAGCTGCTGATCGTCAAGAGGATCAAGCCCAAAACAGAAATTTCATCGATCCCAAGAACTGAAATTTATATAAAGCCTTCTGAATTGACCAAAGGCATCCAACACAACCAAAAACACATAAAAAAAATACACTAAAACTCATTTAAACAACATACAATCCGATTTAAAGGCGTGCCTTCATTTTGCAAACAATGTTTGCAAAAAGTAGATTATGGCAATCATAGGCATACATTGATTTTTCTGTGAAATCGGCAATTCTCCATCCTCACTTATTTTTCAAAACAGCTGATATTGAATATATTTTGGCACTGGTTAAGTAAAATGTCATTCAGTTTTGTGTTTATGCATTAATATTCATTAGAACAACGACTTGTTGGTGGAATTTTGTTTTGACATAGTGCTCATAGATTCTGTCATTTTTATGCGTCAGGTGCAAAGTATCGTCGTAACCTGAAGTGCTCTATTTTGCTTGTATGGGGAGCTGTTAATTCCCATAGCTACGCCTATTATCTGTAAGAAGATCTTACCACCAAATTCGACGAAGGTGTTTTCAACCAGAAATTCGATATATTTATTCCTCCGTATACTTCTTTTTTGACCAGGATGTATTTTTCACACACTACTTTTCAACATAGTTCACAACCATATTTTTGTACCACCAGTTACCTTTCTTGGAATAAGAAGGCTCTGATATAAAGAGAATGAATGCGTTCTTTCAGTTAAACCTTCTTCAAATATTATTTTCGATTTGAGAATTATTATGACAGTAAAACCACATTAATCAAAAAGATGAGAAAATATATTAGACTATTACTAGGGAAGGTGTATGGAGTGATTGTTATTTCAGGTAACTGATGATATATATTCTAATCGTTATGGACACTACAACCATGTACGTACGTCACCATGAACAGATAACACCAGAACTCTTGAGAACTAGATAAGATAAAAGGCGAAAAACATCTCGTGGACTGTCACACATCACATTTTGGAGATCTGGTACGTATTTGGGGCACGTTTTCTTGTTCACTTTTGTTCCTATATCAAAATATTTCATAAACTTATTTGGCTGCACATCATTGCATATGTACAAAAAACACACTGACCTGATTTGTCGCCAAAATGGATAAATATTGGTGTCATTCTTATTGTTTATTACTGAATTAGCTTCTTACCTACGTCTATCTTTCGATGTCGTGGATCGATAAACATAATAATAATAATAAACTGATGATTACATATTGAGCCAACGGCTAATCTTCCATATGGTCCTCTTGTTAGTAAAATACAGTATATATGTGTAAGTTAAAAGTAACATATTGTATATACATAACAATTTGGATTTAAACATGTACACAATGAATCTTTTATAATAATGATGAATTAATACTCTTTTTCTAACACTATATGCTGTTTTCTGATCCATGTGAAACAATTTTTCATTTGGTCATCAAATTTGTTTTCCCATTATTTTAGTTTTGTAAAAATAGTAGCAAAAATAATATGAAGCCTTCAATGCTTTTGAAATATGCATATAAACGAAACAAAATTTACAAATATATGGTTATGTAATAGATAAGTTAATGTTGAAAGGATAGAGACGTAAATATGGCGAAATATTATTTGGATTATATCAACGTTTTGTCTATCTGGCTATTCGATTACTACAATTTAGTAGCTTTAAGCTCCTGTGAAATACACCTTCAATTCTGTAGGTATATAGTACAACAGTCTCGTGTGAATCATATCTAAGTGATTAGATAAGTAATATGTGTTCTGTGACTTCAATAGGGCTATAAGTCAATATATGGGTCATGTCTTGACTTGCATATGGAAAGCAGTTTTGACGTATGTAACGTGAAACTGGATTGCTGTCGATTTCGTTACATTTATAAATATTTTGTATTCTTCTTACTTGTATTGTCATGGATCGTACAAACCACACACGTGTGAATTGGATCTTTAATTACAAAATGTGAAATACATATATAGCAAAGCCAAAGGATGAATCAACATCTCCTCAGATAACTAATATGTGGTTCCTCAGTGATGTTTATGACCAGCAATGTTGGAAATTGGATAGGGTTGTGCACAAGCCCTTTAATAATGTTGTCTGATGTGTTGAAATAAGGAAAACAAATATCGACGTTCACAAATGTTAAAGTAAGGGACATGTACATAATGATATAACTCAACTAATGTAGTAAATATTTAACAACTTCGATCAGTATTTCGTAGCATGATTTCTGAACGTTAGAAACACCTGCCTGCTTGAAATACAATACATACGAGGGGTTGAGAGCAGTTATGAATTTATTAAAGGTTCACTAAATATTTCGGTTCGTTAAAGCCAGTCTTTTATTTACATATCGTTCAAAAATTATTTGTGGTCAATAAATATTTACAAATCTGATTAGATTTTGGTTACTGTTGCTTAAGACTAATAAAATTTCAATATCAAGATTTGACCATTCATTACGTTTTAACAACAAACATATGAAGGATTACATGGAATAGATCGTTTATAAATTTCTCTATAGCCGAAACTGCCTTTATTCTCATGCCCTACAACACTAGTTTACAATTTGCTTTTTGCTTGTAACAAAACCAAATGTGGCTGTTTACCACCATCTCTAATCAAATAATAACTGCTTTAATATCCATTTATATTGTTTAATAACCTGATTGTGTTTTCGAGTTCGGTTCACTTCAAACGCAAACACACAATGTTGATTTAATTGTCGTCATCATAAGAGGATGTTTTATGACGCAATGTTCTTAGCTATTTCGCAAGTAAAATAAGTCTGGAAAAAACAGTCGTTAGATACAGAAAAAAACTGATATGGATTTTTTTCGTTGCACACATCATATTCGGAATCCAGCCAACTTTATCAGTTACCATCGTCCTTTTCTAATTCGCATTTTGATTGTTCATTCCATACGACTCACCAGCGATGGAGAAAGTAAAAGTGGAAAGTGATTTTAAAAACTATGACACGGAATGGTATATGCATAATCTCTTAACATCGGATGAAGCCTCCTACAACATGCGATTTGATGTCGAACTTCTGCATAGATTCTTCAATAAACGTAAGTATATTTTTATTGAACTCTTTTGAATATGCGTACAACTCACTAATCCGTTTAAAGGTAGGTTCCACTAATGTTTAAGTTCCATAAGAAACCATCCACACTTGGATTTCGTTCAGACTTTGCATACTTGTAGTGTTATAAATGACTAAATATAATATACACTCGCATTTCAACTTTTAGATGAAGATGAAGAACTCACATGTTCAGTGAATTGATCCCATGTCAAAACATGTGTCAAAGACATTCATTAGTGCCACTTCCTTTTTTTAAAAACATTCTTTGCCTTCCTGAAACTTTAATCATCTTTATCAAGCAAAAAAAAATCTAGTGCATTCATTGCCTCAGTTGTAATCAGGGATTTGCTTGAAATTATACATCAAGTATTCAACAATGAGAATTTTCCAAAAATAAGATTTGAACATTTATCATATTTAGACTGCCATGCATGGACTGGTTGAACCTTTGGTCAATTCAATGACATGCATGGCATGTGTGAATCTGTGAGTGACACTGAAATAGATATGTTTCTGTATTTTTGGGACGAAACTTACATGGAATCAAATGAATATGCTTACTAACTACTCCAAAGCCACACTGTCAATATATTTTAACAACATTATCGATATATTGAACACTTCAGTTGTCTCTAAAAACCTTGATATAGCCCACATACCGAGAAGCAGTCACACACATTACTGCATTTACCAAAGCAGTTTATGGTGAGTAGGTCACTCTTATCTAAGATGGTACCTATATCTACCTCAACAAAGGCAAAGGACACCAGTTTCAAAAGGCATGATATGGACGACAGAAAAAAACTTTTTCAAGTTCATGTCCATTGTGCTGCCTGATGGGTATGGTTTAGACACAATTGGTCCTTATCACGTCAGTGTAAGTGATGCACACATATCTCAACTCTTCTTTGAGAAATGTGACGTCCTGAAATCTTGGCTTCAAGTAAACGACATTATGAATATGGATCGTGGTTTCAGGGACGTCATAGATCTTCTTTCTGATCTGGGATATGATGCTAGAACGCCGTCGTTTTTCTAGCTAGAAAATCCCAATTGAACTCTAAAACAACCAATAGCGATCGCTATTGCATCAAAACACGATGGGTTGTAGATCCGACAATGGAGGTATAAAAAGTGGGTATTTTCAAGGATAACTTCCATCAAATAATTAAATTGAGATCTTTGGCAAGTTAGTTCATACCGTAACTACATGTCTGAATGCCTTCAGAAGAATAATATACGATTAAGATTCACTTCGAGTGGAACAAGATACTAAAGTCGCTCAGCGAATGTTTTCGCCCCTACAAAAAGACAACGTTTAAGCAAAACGAGTTGATGAAGACCACAACATGACACATCGAGAAAAAAGTGAATGGTAAAAACTTGAAGCATCTGATATCTCATTCCCTATGGATCTGTTATATCGAAAGACCATCACATGAGATACGTACCAAATCACCTGGTCACATTGTGGACGACCAGACAGATAACGGTGAATATGAGATTTGGGTCTACCAGCACGATTTCGTCACAAGTCTGAAATGAAGTACGATGTCTGATTTCAATTTGATTTATTATAGGTTTTTTAACCAGTCTTAGTGTAGATGTGCACCCTGGCTCACACCAATGGACAAGGATAATAAAATAGGGCATAGCACAGGCCATAGTTGACTTTGGATTTTTTCAAGCTACATTCTTAGGAGTTTTATGAGTACTACAAATAACACGATAAATATTGAATTAGTAGGTGAGCAAACCTACATGTACCGTGGAACAGGTCCCTTGAAAACAACTGAAATCCGGAAAATAGTTTTCAAAGTACTTAAAATTATGAATTTGAGAAAAGCGTCTCTGGTTAAGAAAATAATGGGGTAATACACAGCATTATTGTTGTAAAGCTTAGAAAAAAAAGTAATTTCTGAATACAGAAATAGAATGAACCGTAAGTTGTTATTTTATTTTTTATCAAATGTTAATATTCCTTTTGTTTTTCCAATATCTTTATCAAATTTTATACAGGTGGTGTCGTATCGGTTCTTAAACATATGTAAATATGAATTATATGCCATGAAGACCTTTTACAAATCAAAACTGGGAAAAGAATGACGAATTAAGATACACATTTAAAAAACAATTTAACTCTGAACTGCTGCAATTTTTCCTGGAATAATTGAGTTATGAATAGCAAACGTATCACTAACCACGATATAGAACCTAGTAATACGAAAATTCACGATGTTCGGAGTGTAAAGCAAAAATGTCACAAAGAAACAAGAAAATATCAACATGTCAACATAATCATAATGCAAACTCAATTAAAAATCATAATGCAAACTCAATTAAATGGTACTAGAAGACCATGTGTTCTGGAAGCGTACGCGTCTTCTGCTTCATCGACTACACCCACTATATATAACCTTGGTCAATCAAAGTAAGTAACGTCACGTTCTCATACGAGAACGCGGTATACAACGGAACCAACAGGCAAACAAACAACCATAATGTCCATCTACCTGCATCTTTTGAAATTCGGTTACGCAGTTTGTCCTTCAGGTGACGACTTCTCGCACGAAAATCGTGATAATGGGAAAAGGCCGTTGAATATCGAATCAACTGCGACATGTAATCACAATAGGTTGTTATTGCTATCTAGAGAGGGAAAATTCACAATAGAAGGACGTATTCTTATTAAATATGATTTAGTATAATTCACAACCATATATCTATACCGCCGTTCGCCTTTCTTGGAGAAGAAAGCTCACACTACAGAAAATGAAGGCGATTTTTCATTGTAGAATAGGATACAGTGGTGTACATGGTGGAAAATAAACTATTCTTATAGAAAATGTTTTTGACAAGAGGCTTAGAAGATTAGTCAAAAACTATTTTTTTATTTTTTTTTTTTAAATCCAAATACTATTATTTTCACTTCTAGATTAAACAGAATAAGACACTATAACTCAAATTTGATAGCACTAAGAGTACTGGTTAGTAGTTTTGACAAAGGCTTGGTTGAACAGCAAGACAAGTCACCAATAATACATTGTTTATATGGATTCTTGTGGAGTTTACGAATCCTATTTAAACGGGGGAGGTCCGTATCCTTAATTATTTTAATACCGAAGTACGATTAGAAAGTAGTTCGACTTTGGAAAGATTGCATAATGTATAGGTGGGATTGTATTCGTTATCAAGCAACTTTACTTCTTTTTGTATGCTGGAAATGTAATAAACAAATGCACACAAGGATCGAGTTATTGCACGCCTTATCTGTAGACACAAGACCTTTTCTCGTCAGAGAATGTAAATATCAACTCCAAATGTTCATCATAAAATTGAAGTAAGGTTAGACGCGATTATGCCCAAAAATGAATGAATGCTGTTTCGTTCATTTTGGATCTCATCAGTCATGCCACATGTTATTGTTGAAAGACGTGATAAGGAATTAGCTATTATATAATGCAAAAGGTTAGTGGCAGTATATAGCGTGTTACTTAATCAGTATTTTTTCTGCTCCAGACAATCTAAGCGGTAAGCGTCTACTGGATGTAGGAACCGGTCCAACCATCCACACACTAATCACGGCTTGTAATTACGTGGACGAGATCTTTCTGTCGGATTACATGCCGCAGAATCTCCGTTATCTTGAGAGATGGCATGAAGGGGAGACTAATCAAGCTGTAAAATTAATAGAACATGTGGTCAGCCTTGAAGGACGAACGTAAGTACAGTGTGATGAATTTTGTTGTATTTTAAACATCTTTGTTTTAACAGTGAAAATTTTTATCTTCTAAATTATCCTTCAATAATGAATAAACTGGTGAAATTGAAATCAGATTTGATCAAAAGGTTATAAAAACAATGAAATATCAAAAATTATATATATTCAGAAGAAATATTGTGGTGTTCTCATTAATAATTTTCCATCTGGTTATATCTAAAAGGATGAATGCAAGAGATCGAGAAGACGAATTAAGGAAAAAGGTGAAGGGAATTCTTCCAGTAGATGTGACGTCATCAAAACCACTAGGAGAAGCTTTCAGCAGTAAGCCAATGTTTGATATCATTGTATCTAGCTACTGTATCGAAACAGCTGTGTTTACTGTTGAAGGATATGAAAAATGTCTGGAAAATATATCCTCACTTCTAAGGAAGGATGGTTATCTTATTTTATTTGCTTGCTTGAACGGCGATAATTACCAAATAGGAGATTACAAATATCGCGCACTTTCTATTAATAAAGAAGAACTACAAGCTTGCGTGCGACAAGCCGGATTTGAAATCATGGCGACAGATAAAGCGGCAGAAACAGATTATGATGCAAAATATATGAGTTTTGACTCATATTTTTATATCCTTGGCAGAAAAATGAATTGTTGAGATGTCTTATTCGTGGGAGTACATCTGATATCACTGTTATAAAGACTTACATTTAAACTACTTGTTTGTTCTTTATTGCTGTAAGTTTCATTAAAGTTTACAGATTATTAGGGTGTTAAGGTTTCTTCTCACTAAATATTTCTGTACATCTTTAATCATCTACACATAGCTTGTTGTTTTATTCGACGGATGTATAAAAAGATAGCACCCTAAATGTCGATTAATAAGGATTTGGTAATGCCTAAACATACACATAACGAGATACTAACACGTATTTGATAAAATTACGTACAAATCAAAGAAGAAATTCATGTATACAGCCGACATAATCGTTAAATATAACTATTTCAGCTTGACAATTTGTTTGTAGAACTGGAGGGGGGGGGGGGGGTGGTAAGATCTTCCAATATAATATTGACGTGGGAAATAACAATGCATCTCTCTTGGACGAATTGTTATTTTTCTGTTTTCATTTCATTTGAAACTTACTTTATCGTTCTCCGTGTACCTTCTGTCATTTGGGAATATTGCTTGGCCAAGATTTACATGATGGGTAGCCTCTATGGAGTAGAGGACGCTTACCTTAGCGGGACACCTGATCAATCAAGTAATTACAGCCATCTCTAAACGTTAAATGTGACAAAATATGTCAATAAGCTGTATACGCGAAACTTTACGCTTTGGACTGGCATAATATTGAATTGCTGTAATATGAAAATAAGAAGTCTGTTGACAACGCAAACCCAATTCCCGTGGCATAACTTACTGCCATGTTGCCAATAGCCAGTAGAGGAAGAATCTAGTGATAGGACAGGTAATAAATGTGGAATTACCTTACTTTCCATATTGCTACCTTCGTAAATCTCTTGTTATTTTTTTTATCATTGTATAAGGGAAAATAAAGAACATATATAGGACATTAAGTTATTTTTTTAAAATTTTATATGAAATTTTATGAAGCGACCATTAGATTGTTTAACAAACTTTATTTTGTGAATCGTGGTTAGCAAAAATTAAAATGTGTAACCCTATGCAAGGGTTATCTGCCCTTGTTTAAGGGAAATGCAGAGTTATCTGCCTTGATTATCATACTGGGTTATTTGCCCTTGTATATAAAACCTAAAGTTTTTGATGAAATAATTATATATATTTCATATATGTACCGTTAGGTAATATATAGTATATATGGTAAATATAATTTAATTTAATGTAATTTGTTGTGTATAGGTGTATGTAGGAGGTTACAGAGTATACATGATACCGATGCATGTTTTGATAATACTGTTACTGATATGTAAGGTGCAGATATTAAGGTGCAGTAATTGCGAGATAGTTAATACCTAAAATGCTGACAAATGTTTATGTGACGGAATTTTACGAAAGTCTTTTGTTTACACTGGAAGACTGGACCTTGGCATACGTCATCACCTATAGCCGAATTGTAGGCTTTGTATTTTGATTAGAGTGTTTTGGCTCCAGAATGTCTGGGTTTCATTAGTAATAGTTTGACAGCCTTGGTCAACCACGGTCATCCATCAAATTCGGCAGTCACGTAAGCATTTGTTATAAAAATGAGGGGACAAAATCGCCACTCACTTCGGTCATAGACAGCGTATTACACGGACCGTTGTCACGAAGCCTGGGACCAGAAGAGGCACGGGTTACAAATGTCGAAACCGAAAATTTCTTATATGATACTTTTTTTATTCTATGTCTCACAAGCGTTACATCGAAGCAGATTTAAAGTCGAATTTTTCGAATCAGAAATGGATTTCTACAGACAATAAAAAAACGTTCAACGCTTTATTACACAACTGACATATACAACATTTTAAACATGGTAATTTCACAATGTAGCAGGTTGATAGTGCGATAAAAAAACATTTCTCATGTTTTGTGAAGTTCTTAGCTTCAGTTCAAGACGGGCATTTGAATTTGTACATGAGCATTTTATTTATTTTTTTATTATTATTCTGATAAATATAATTTGGAGATAATTCAATATTGTTTTATAGTTATTATAACAATACATATACCAGTTTGCTTCACCAGTTGAATCAGAGAAGCGGGAACGAGATAATTGCATCACTACATCAAATCCTTTTTATGCTATCTTACCTAGGATCTTCACTATCTTTAATACAAATTTAGAACTACAAAATGTTATCTGTTGATCCGTCGTGGTGGTGTACAACAGATAAGACATACTGTGACGAAGTTAACAAAATCTACAACTGAACAGGTGTCAATGGTTTACCAGTATGTATCCACTACTAGTATTCATATTACATTTATCAACTGCATTTGGACAAGTACAGATCGAGGTGCCATATCATGTACATCAACCACACCAATGGCAGGAACTCGTTACATTTATCAATGAAAAAGTCGGTTATTTGGAACGGCTGATTAATGTTAAAGATAAACAGGTAGGTGAGTTGGAGAATAAATTACGGAATCAGAACAATGAGATTATGCGGTTGAAAGAGGACGTTAAATCACTTCAACAGGTAATTCATGTTCAAAGGACTCAAAATTCAGATTTGAACTCAGGTGTGTTCAGAGGTTCGGAAGGCATAAATCTTCGTCCTCTCTCTGCTTCAAATGAAAGTGAAAATTGGACAAAAAATTACAAGATTGCTATTGATACAGATGAGGAACATCAGCGTAACGGTGTCCGTAATACCATACAAACACACAAAGTACAACCTGGTGCTGAATCTAGAGCTGATGTCAGAGGCTCTATTCCAGGTGATGACAATCTTTCTTACCATGATTCAAACGGTGTACCAAGGAAATATCCTTATCAACCTGCGAGTTTTAAAGACGCAAGGATGAATAAGAATCGTGAGTCCAAACAAAAAAGTAAGATTTTGTTATACTTCCTCTGAAACTGATTGATGTCAGTATCTTATCAGGATATTTACACAGTCGATAGTGTGCTTACAATGATGTCGACTAATAATTCTTTTGACTTCCTTATTCACGTCGGTCAACCTTAGATTACCATGTCACTTATAAGATGTTCGCATTATGAGTGTATTGTAAACTTTGCTTTAAGATGTTACTTCAGTGTTTCGTTAACACCAAACATACTTTGCATATCAATTTCTGCAAAAATGTCGTCGTTATCGCATGGTCATTGTTATGACAATATGTTTCCGTTGATGACAATTACTGCAATGTATTTACACTGCAAACTTTCGACAATGACTAACAAAACAATCGCAGTGTCCATCCGTGTACTGTTAAAAGAGGCAGCATATTATTCAATCAACATATACTCAGTTTAAAAATGATAGAGACGCTTGGTGAAATATCGTTTTCTTGAAGCATTGTTAGTGGTTAAAGATCATCTAAAAAATTATTGAAGAAAAAGGTTTACAGAATTTGAGTTATGCTTTTCTTTGGTTTCAGGAGTAGCAGCAGTGCAGACAATTGCCTTCCACTCATCTCTCACACGTTCTGTGACAGTAAGTCCCCACACCACAGTAATATTTGACAAGGAAGTACTTGACCAAGGAGCCGGATACAATCCACTCGATGGCATATACAGGTGTGAAACCAATTGCGTCTATTGTTTGATAATTTTATGACGGTTTTTGTATACAAAGTAGTACATTGATAACCTTTAATCTAATCAAACTAACAGATTTTAACCACGATATCATGAGATGGTATCCAGTACTCCTTATAAGGATTGAATGGATTTTCGATTTCATACCAGCAATAAATAACAGTAACCATTCACATATCATATGTCGCACGCTCGCGAAATAAAAGATTAAAGCCTTCTTTACATTTTTTGTAAAATAACTAAACTTTATACATTTAAGAAAATTTACAAAAAATGATATCTTGTTAATGCGAGTGATAAAACCGACCTGTTATATTAACACAACCAGTTTGTACACTAATCCTGGAACACTATGACAATTTAACATCTACGGTATTAAGGTTCTATATTTACATGATATTGTTGATATACAGTTTACCAATTTTGTTTTTTTTATATCTTAACTGACGAATGCAAATATTACTTTGAAGTTATATTTTTTCAACTTCTATTTATTTCCAACAAGATATGAAATCATAATCATCTGTTATCATATTCACGGACGTGAAATTTTTACACAGTGTTCCAGAGTCCGGTACTTATGTGATCACGTGGTCACTTGTGGCCGATAGACACGCCTCGTTTCAAACAGAACTTATTGTGAATGGAGAGGCACTAGGGAACTCGTGGACAGACGCCGATGAAGTTGGAGATTTACACCAAACATCAGCTACCATGGTCCTGACACTTACGCAGGGAGACCATGTATTTATTCGAATAGGAAATATCGCAAGCGGTGCAATATCAACAGAAGTTTCCAATCCAACATTCTCAGGTTGGAAGGCGGGTTGAATATCAATTTTCATTTTGTTATTACTGTATATTTGTAAAATTAAAGTGTCAAGTCAGTAATTGGACATTGATGAATTCTTATCATCCTTATATCACTAAATTATTGTTGGCATTAATTCATATGTGTGTGTGTGTGTGTGTGTGTGTGTGTGTGTGTGTGTGTGTGTGTGTGTGTTAAATCTGTTGTGTGTGTGTGTGTGTGTGTGTGTGTGTGTGTGTGTGTGTGTGTGTGTGTGTGTGTTTGTGTGTGTGTGTGTGTGTGTGTGTTTGTGTGTGTGTGTGTGCGTGTGCGTGTGCGTGTGCGTGCGTGTGCGTGTGTGTGTGTGTGTGCAAACATAAAAGGCCAACAAGGCATATAAACTCGATTATCGCTAACGATACACTATGTTCTCATCTAACTGAACTATACATATAGGCTTTTCCCACCAGTGAAAAATAAAGGTTTCACGTTTAATATTTATTGTACACTAGGCATGTCTTCAAAGGGATTTCCTGGCCTCACAAGGCCCTTCCACCAACGATAACAGATTAGCAACATTACTCTTCTAGTTTGGAAGTACTAACAGTTTTGATTCCAGTGGCAGAATGTGAGCAATGAGGGGAGTGGTCTGGGATGTTGCCGGATGCTCTCCCAATACTATCTCGCAACTCTTTTTGTTCGTTATTACATCGATGACACACCTTGTTGATATGACCATATTTGGTCATTTAACCTGACCTTCACCGGGCTAAACGATCACTACTCACATGATCAATAATAACCGGTACTTACTGTTGACACTCAATTAAATGCCAATCATATGAGAGACATAAAATCTTATTTGTTTGAAATGTTGCTGAACAAAGCGTTTATCTCTACGATTGGATAGTCTGTCCATCCGTCCACAGCACGTTGGATGCTGTTACTGTTATACTGAATGAGTTTGCTTTCAACTGATATCTTTTCCAATTCTTAATAGTTTTGTCTACAAATGAATATATATACAGCAATGTCAGTAATATCGTTAATTATATATACCAATATGTGTATATTGATGACGTAATTGTTACCTAATAAACCAAGTGTGTTACAAGTGATGAATAATGTGGTCGGGGATATGACTGTTCATGTAAGTAACCCATCTTTTAGTCATCAAATATACATTGCATGTCATATTTATTAACACACGTGTACAACATAGAGTACATTAGTAAACAGTGAATCAAATATTTCCGATATATATCTTAATTACGAATTACATACTTCAGTAACAGATTTCCTTCTATAAACTTCGACTCAATACTGTTGTTCTATTGACCTATCAGAGACCAGTACACAAGGAAAGTGCACTTAAACCTAAGTATTCTCCTTCATGTCCAGAGAGTGTATCGGGAGCATTCTTTGACCTATCAGAGACAAGCACACAAAAGGGAATCAACTTCAAACTTTAGTATCCTCCTTCACGCCCAGAGAGTGTATCGGGAGCATTCTTTGACCTATCAGAATCTAGCACACAAAAGGGAATCAACTTCAAACTTTAGTATCATCCTTCACGCCCAGAGGGCGTACCGGGAACACCCGTTGACCTATCAGAAACTAGCACACAAGGAGAGTTCACTTAAGATGTAAGTATCCTCCTTCACGCCCAGAGAGCTTATCGGGAGCATCCGGTGACCTATCAGAGACAAACACACAAGGAGAGTTCACTTAAGATGTAAATATCCTCCTTCACGCTCAGAGAGCGTATCGGGAGCATCATTTGCTCTACTCCTAGTCTTTCGCATATATTACAACAATTAACTTATTTGCCAATCAAAAAGTTTCAATTCCTGTCTGCTTCGTAAAAGGAAATGATGACATGACATTTAAAAGCCACTCAGTGTCTATGGCGGTCAGGCTATGTGTCTACTGTATTGAATTTCTTAATTGCGTTATCAAAAGATGAAAAGAGCGTAAACACATTGCTGTATAATTGGGTAAAATAACGTTTAATCACAATAACACATATGTCAATTTTATATATATATATTTAAATCTGAAACGAACATCACGACTGCACAATAGGAGAGGGATATGTCTAAATGTCAAAAGACTAGGCTTGCATGGAAGTAGTTACACAAACACCTCCATGTTCAAATTACCGTAACAGTGAGGTTGTGACAATATACATTTGTTCTACAACGCGGAGCTTGTTTTAAATTGGGATTCATTCTATTAAAATCCATCGACACAATTAGAAACAAACGGAAACCAATATCAAATTCCGGATTTGTTAGTGTTGGCTCATGTGAAAAAATGTATTATGATTTATTCTTGAAATTTGTACGAAAATACCCCTTAATTAATCAAACATGCTGATTCGGTTACCGATATACATCTAAAACCATTAAATTTGCGAATTTAAAGTTATTTCTAGATCACAGTTCGCGAAATCATGTATTCGCGAATATGTATGAAGAGGTTAGTTCGCGAAAAAAAAAATTCGCGAAATCTAAGTGGTGTTAAGTATATAAAAGAGTTGACCATACAATGACCTTTCGTTGTGCTTAAATATCATTACATATCATTATATATATATTTAGCATCACAGTTTTATATATATTTATTTCTTTGTACTCGGTTGGAGCAGTGTAAAAGAGATCACTTACCGTCAACAGGAACTGACGTCACTCTAAACGATACAAAAGTATATAATATATATATATGAGGTGACCATTCCATGACCTTTAGTGGCGTTTTATAACACCTCATCATATATAAACAACAGCATCCGCAGTGTTACATAGACTGTCTGTTTGTACTTGGTCGGAGCAGTGTAGAGGAGGACATTTATCGTCAACAGGGAATAGACATCACACTGACAGGACAGTATGCTGATACATGTCTTCGCTACCGTCTGTTATTTACTTATATTGAATGGTGAGTATTTTTATCGACATAAAATTCATAATAGATAAGTAATACTATGAAGAATTTATAATGATTATGATATCAATAAAGAGTTTACCACGATTATAATATCAATAAAGAGTTTACCACGATTATGATATCAATGAAGGGATCACCACGATTGCAATGTTTATGGAGAGTTTATCACTATTTTAGTGTTATTAAAGGGTTTATCACGATTATAGATTGTTTATCATATATCTTTATACAATTATTACAGATATTATAATACGCTAAATCTGTATACAACAAACATTTGTTTGTTATGACCCAGTACTCATATTGGACCATACCGTCGATATTACTTTATTATTATTACATTCTTAACGGAAATAACATTAAACAAACCAAAAGGTAAAAGACAAATGTTAAAAATCTTAAATGGGTATGTTAATCGATATTACTTACTATATGCGAGATATACATGAATATATAAATACATGCAACATATTTAGAACATAATTGAAGACACAGGGGGTTAATTCCATGTAATTGACAATTATTCAAGTACTACTCTATCTATAGTACAAACCTCGATTTTTACTACTTTTTCAAATGTAAGATTTTCTGGAAAAAAAAGCACGTCGTTTGCGAGTATGGTTGTCAGTTGAACTTCTAAAATAGAAATTATTTGAATAATTATCATTTACATTAAATTAGCCCTCCGTGCTTCAGTCAGCTGTAACAAATAACATGGTTTCTGTATTACTTAGTTGGACCAGGATCCGCGGAAACGGTTTGTGATTCCTACGGAGCCATACAACAGCTCCAGTGTCTAGGAATGAGGGGCCCAACTGAAGAAGAACTTTCACAAGCGTTTAACGGTGAATATTTCACTAGAGATGGAGTGGAAATGCTTCTTCACGTCTGGTGTAGGTAAGTTCAGTCATTCATATTCTGATAGTTGTGTCATTGGATATGTTAATATGTAATAATTCATTCTAAACTTTCATTTTTTAAATACATTTATGTGAAAAGGTAAACTTCCAAGCTCATATGATGGATTATGTTGAATCGAGTACATTTAAACAGTCAAGCAAGACAGCCTAATGTACATCTATACTTAGCCTATGCTTGTTGCGTCAAAACCGTTTGTAAGTTAATGGCGTGAACTTGGTGCAACCACTTAATTGTTCACGCTTGGCTAAGCATTTCGAATTGATGATGTAACACAGTAAACTAATCTTGACAAAATGTCAGGTTTTTTTTCACTGAATAATTAAGATACACCACGAATCACCATCCCCTCTGCACGTACATCCGATACTTTCACAGGGGCGAATAGAAGTGGCAGTTTTGATATGACAAAATAAAAGATACGAAATTTATGCTGTGACGAATGCTGATTTTTTTTAACATAGTGAAAAAATGATGTACCCTTCTCCGTTTCTCCTATGCTGTGATACACGGATAATTTTTTTTTTTCCGCACCGAGACAAACTTATGAGACCCGGATAAGTTTTATTTCAGCACTGTGACAAAATGCTGGTGCACCTCATAGTTTCTCAGCGCTGTGACAGACCGCTGATACAAGTATCAGGTTTTTTCAGCACAATGACAAAATGCTGATGTCTTTATCAGTTTTTATAATTATTATTATTCGACCAGCTTTCATCCTTAGATTGTTAATTGGAACTTGAATCATTTAGTTAGCTTTTGATTCCTCACCAGTAAAACTCGTTATCTCTTTAGAACTGCTCAACATCTGTTTCAGAATCAGCTAACGTTATCAGCTGCTTACATATTTATGTTCTTGATAACGTAAGACCTGTAGTGTACTTAAAAAGATAAAGTACCGTAACATAAACCCAAATCATCTCTGTATTGTTTACATGAACAAAATAAAATTTATACTACGTCGGCGTTTTGACCGCAGCTACATTTTGACTGAAGTTAGATCTAGGAGTGACAAATGCATTAACCACAAAATCTGCAGTAGTTTTGACAGCAGTAGCTATTGCAAAGTTCAGGTTGTATCCTCGAATTTTAACAAAATGTAGATTTCTCTATACAGCGACACTTTTGCTGTCATTTAGATGTCACCGTCTCGTCAATAACGTGAAATTAAAAGATGGGTTAGGTTTTCATTTATCATTAGAAATGTGTTTTTTTTTTATTTAATGGCGAATCGTTAATTTTGTTTAATAGTTTATTTGTAATACATACAAATACATACATATTTAGATCATTAGAATAAAAAAGTAATTAAACTACACCATATAGTTGTTTCAACCTTCTAGGACTCGTCCGTGGTGCTAAAGGCCTTAATTTTGAACCCTAGGAGGCGACCGCGGACAAGTAAAAGTGATCAAAGTCAAGTCTAGCTTGGGAGGGGCACAAGCTCATTAATTCAATAAATTTCTACAACTAAAGTTATAATTCAATTTCCAGCTCACTGCTGCAATACAGGCACTGCATTTCGACCAACACCAAGCAATGTACGAACGTGGAAGAGCTGCAGCAACTGAGTCTAGAGAACGGAGGACTGTGTACAGCCGATGGTTCAGTCGATCCGCAGGTGCAGCCGTGTAAGTATAACCGTCCGTCGCCAACTTTGCGCATGAAACAATTGCCCAGTAACCAGGAAGCTATGGTTTCCGTGTATCGCTACAGGTTTGTTCAAGTAAATGACCTTCAAATCAAGCATATTTTCATAAATCGGTAGTTTTGATTTCAAAAATGCATGGAATCGCCGAATCGCCATCTTGCTGTTATCATTAGACCTTTAGATCTGTATTCACATTCATGATATATAGTATTTATTATGACAAGTTATGAACAGTAAATATTACCTCTATAGAGCTATTCTTGTGTCAAATTCAATTTTAATCAGAGATATCTAGAAGTCAATATATTGGGGTACCACATCCTCGTTACAGTACGGGGCATACGAAAAGGAAAACGAAGATAAGAAGTCACATCGACAGTAGATCAAATCTACTAGCATAACTTATTTCAACCAGAAACAATAAGAGGGACATGACAAAGATAAACGTTTAGAATTGACATTCTATCGACCAGATATCTCGTAATCGACAATAGTAACAAACAGAGCTATGTGTGCAACATATATACGGGTGAATGATATATTTAAATGTGAACTGAATAATAGATGCTTTATACGTGAAATAATGAGGCAGCTGCATTCTTCTAGAAATCTTCTGGTTTTTTTCTGAGAGTTGCAAACCCAAGAGGACCACTAGAAACATCACGATCAACCTAAACATATTAATTATCTATATATAAGGACAGGAAGGGAGACAACTCCACCACCAGAGCATATCATACCATAGTCAATTCCTTAATAATTAATAAAACTGCAAAACATATTTGTTAAGTAATTCTAGATTAACGGACGGAAAATCTATGGAAGTCTGTAAAACTCGGCCTAAAAACGAGGAAAATCACAAATTCAATGAAAGTGTGAAAAAAAGAAAACATTTACAACCTGAAAACGTACCCGACATGTCAATCTCGATCATTCAAGAAAGCAATGTCACATTGTCGAAGGTTAACAACAACGGAACAGCCAGCCATACAATATTACATCGTACATGGTAGGCCATGTGATTCCACAAGTCCGTGAACAGTGCTTACTACATTACCTCTAAAATACGTACGTTTGTACTAACCCACGAAATCTGAAATCGAACCAATTGAAGTCCCACAAAAACATTTTAATTTCAGTATAAGAAAATCTGATACAGTTTAACAATCATTTGTAATTCTTATTCACAGATGTGCAGAGATACACACAGGCTGCGATCATGGGAGATTGTGCGGAATTCTGGGGAAATTTATTTGCTTCGTGCTATCCACGTGGAAACAGCGAGATACCGGATAGACCAGATCCTTCATTGAACATCGCCCAGGGTATAGCTTGGTGGACAAGGTAGAGATGGGAATTCATTACATATAACACTTCCCGGAAAATACCCGCCGTGTATCCTGTACTTCTATCTGGCAAAAGAATGCTTTGCTGTACTTTACTTTATAGAATAAGGAATAAACAACTGAAATGAATTTTAGACAACTTATACATGATAACATGATAAGATTGAATAAAAATGTTCAACATTTTAAACAAAAATTCTATTTTTACGAATATTGCAAAATTTATGTTTTAAACAAAATTTTACATGCGTTTTATTTTCATAAAGAAACTTGTTATCAATCTCAAGTTAATGAGAACTTAAAAGGCCCACTATATTGAGTGATCTGAATATAGAAGCATTTTGTTTAGGATTCGCTCTTTAAAATCTAAAACGGTTCGTAATGTTATCAATTTCTTTTCCCTTTAGAACACGGACTGACACCATTCGCTGCATCGTGGACAAAGAAACTCCGCCTCTTCCAGACAGTTGTGTGGGAACGTCATCTACAGACGCCAAGATCTTCGCAATACTCGACAACCTATGGTCGGAACCCTATGGTGTCGGAGCCCATGTCGACATATCGGCGTTTATTGACCAACTTTAATTCCTTCGAAATATAATGTTAAACTGTATCTCCCCTGTCTAAATAAAATCATGATTCAACATCTTTACGCTTTTCCTTTTAACATTCAGTCACATACATGCTGCACATGCCAAATAGCTCAGTCTTGACGTCACGACGTCTCACATGGACGTCGGTGGCGAATACGGGAGGGAGGGGGAGCAGACGATTATCGTTTTTTTTTTATTTCTGAACCAAGTTGCCAATGTTTTTCGATTTCTTCAGAGACGCATATAAGTGTTTCTATTTTCACTGCAAATAGCAATAAATTCGACTTTCAATTATTTAAAAAACAAAACAGGAAAATATGTCCGTTCAAAAACAAATAAATAAAAATATGTCCAAAGAACCATACATTCAAACTCGAATTAAATAAATCTAGGGTAAAATATGCAAAACAAAAATTTACATTGAGACACCTTACGGCGAGAAGAAGACCAGGTGTTACTGAAAAACGAGCGTCATCTGCTTCAACGAGCATGCTTATCAAAACATTAAATTTTATTATCAAACCTTAAACAGAATACATTTTGGAGATTGCTCAGATTTTTTAAACAATCTTTCGCCTGATTATCTAAACCAGACTCTAACTGATATAAATTATGTTAATATTAACTGAGTAATGTTTCTTCACAATGCTGGCAGTAACATGAATCAATGCTGGAATCCAACAAATAAAGACAGCCTTACTGAATCATCCAGAAAACAACTGATACAAAGTATTAGTTCAATTCAGCTGAATTTTCTATGTTGTCTTCTGAAAATTTCATAAATTTTCTAATGAAATATTTTCAAAAATAAAAAATAAAAATAAAACAGTTCAGCAACATTCACTGGAAAATGAAGGAGGATTACAAAGTCCTAACCAATTCTACCTTAATTAAAGTCAAAGGTTAAGCAGAGAGTTGCAAGTAAACTTTTATTAATAGGATCTCCAAGCAGGAGCGGTAGGGATTGCAATGCCACTACAGTGCTAGAGCACTTCGAATTGCAGAGCCTTGGTAAGGTGTGTAGGAAATATACCATTCTTTTATCAGCAAAAGGTCAATAAAAAGGCTTTTCTGAGACTCAAAGTTTTGAACAATTTCCCCATCAGAAGGCCAAGTATATTGACAGGGAAGGAAGTTTATAAATTATTCATTTTTAAATCACAATGACTTAAGTACCAAATAATAGTCATTACCTGTAAATATCTGGAGAAGGTGAAACAGATGTACATGTGAACAAAACAAAATTCAAAGCCTACAACAAAGTTTCACACTGACAACTGTTTAGAAAATTGTTTTCACCGAGTCAAATTGATCAGACTCAAAATTTAATGGGCATAACTAGGGACCATGGAAAACCTGCAAAAGAAGTTTGTGACATATTCATTCAGTGTTTCTCAAAAAAAATAAAAACAAAAATTCAAGATGACAGTCCGTGGAGAGTTTGGTTTCAATGAACAAACACAAAATTGGTTGGGCACAAATAGTGACCATAGGGAATTAACCTATGAAGCTTAAATATCCTGATAATACATGTAAAGAAATTACGAATTTTTTTCAAAGGCAAATGACAGATGTACCATGGACATAGAGCATTTGAAAATTGCAAAATAAACTATAAAATTCTAGTCATATTATTTGACATCAACTTTATTTTTCTGAATGAGTTTCCCAAGGTATATCTTTACATCACGAGAAGAGTCATAAAATATCTTCTTTAACGTGAAATGTTTTCTCATCAGATCCAGGTATTGATTGTCTCTGTCATATCTGTAGCGCCATGATAACACCACCACAGTATTTTCATGACAGATTTGTAAAAATGTTTTCAATAAATCATCAAACAATTCCTCAATATAGATAATGTCGGCTCCTAATACAATATCATAGTCCGCAGAAAATTTGGACCAGTCTTTTGTCCAATCAAGACCTTTAACTTGAACGTCCAAACCAGGCTTGTCCCTCAGGTTTTCTTCTACAACCTCGTTGATGTACTCTAGGGCTACATCAAGATCTGTAATTGTCACTTTTCCACCTGTATAGAAGAAAACTGTGAACTAATATCTTTCCTATTTTTTTTAAAAACTCTCTTTGTTTGCTTGTAAGCTCTGGTTGCCATTATATAACTATTAACTTGAAGTAGAGAGTTGGGCTGATTACAGGACAACTGTATAGCATTTGTTGGCACTTCTGAAAGTCTATGACATGTGGGTGGGCTTTTTACTTCTGAAATTCTATGACATGTGAATATATAGCATTTGTTTGTATGACATGTGAGTGGGCAGGACAACTGCATAGCATTTGTTGGCACTTCTGAAATTCTATGACATGTGAGTGGGCTTTTTACAGGACAACTGCATAGCATTTGTTGGCACTTCTGAAATTCTATGACATGTGAGTGGGCTTTTTACAGGACAACTGTATAGCATTTGTTGGCATTTTCACTGAAATTGCATTAGATAGGCATGGGCTTAACACAGGACAATTATGTAGTATTGATTGGAATTTCCACAGAAATTCCATGAGATGTGGGTGGAAGTATTACAGGAAAATGATAATGTATTTGCTGGTATTTCTTCAAACCTTGCAATACATGTAGGTTGACTTACAGCCAGACATGGGCTTAATGCAAGTAAAACAGCAAGCATGTTTATCGTGTTCAGTGCATTTGCCAATAGAACTGGTTTATGTTGGAGATGGTGTTTAGATGGAATACAGATTATTATCCTATTATGCTAAGGCTGTCAACACTTACAGTGGTTAACAATGGGTTTATTGCTTGAGAATGGCTAGTGTAATTTTACTAGTCTTCTTATGGTAGCTGGTAACTACCTTGCTGAACAACATATGGGAGGCCTGTAAAGTACCATCCACAACAATTAGGGAAACATGTCTTGCTCAAAAACACAACCACAACAGAACAAACTGGTCCATTTTTCAGCTTCCTGAGAAAAGCAAATTTCCGCAGGTAGGGGTTTTCAAAACAAGCACCTTGGATCTTCGTCTTAGGTCATGTTGGCTATGTCTCTACTGACTGAACTATCACTGCCCTCAAAGTTGGGAGGTGGACTTATTACTACAGAACTGTAATACTGAAGGCTCTATTTTTGTGAGTTAATTCTAATTTTATTTGTTTGTTTGTTGTGGTTTTTTTTTCAGGAAAACTTGCTTCTCTTTAGAAATAGTAACACCTGCACTTGAAGCAATTATAACATGCAGCAAGTTTTGATTTCAAACTTCAAAAAAATTCTCCTTACTTAAAAATAAGTAAGAATTTTTCCTAAGGAAATTGTTAAATAATATTTTGTTTGCGATATAAGGAAAATAGAACGAAAAAGATTTATTTAAGAAGAAAATGTACATGTACTGAACATATGTATATTGCAAAAACACCAAGATACAGGCAGTAGAACCAACATCTTTCATTTGTACATAGGTGGATACAAGTATCCTTTACTCTTCAGCTGGATACCCAAAGGTTTACAGGGTGGTTAGATTGTAGAGTAGAGTCAGGGTTAACCATTACAACTGCCTCAGAGTAGGTCTCCTCATTATATAATTGGTATTTGTCAGTGGGTTTCCCCACTTAAGTGGGCTTAATCAGGACAAATTCACAAAATTTTCTACTCCTAAAATTAATGAATTTCGAGCAATTTTCTATAAATAACTTATAAAAGTGTTTGTGATATCCCATCCTAGACCTGGATATGATGTGCAGTAAACCTTACATATTTGTTACATGTGTGTTGTTCTACATCATCCTTTATGCTATTACTTATGTCCTTGAATGTAAGTAAGTAATCAAATAACTTTAGATGTAGGGTGATATGGTTCTAGAGAAGGATGGTGCCAGATCACATTTATAAGTCAACTTCATACATAACAAAGACTAAAAGTTTTCTACAACACCACTTTTACCTAAATTCAAGGCCACATACCTAATAACGCTGCAACAATACCAACAATTCCGGACCCTGCTCCAAGCTCTATGACTTTTTTACCATTTACAAGCTCCACATTCTTTTCCAGGTATTCACACAATACAATAGCCTGCCAATACAGGAAACAGATATTGTCAGTATTGCATACTGAAACATTACAAACAGTTTGTAAAATTTAACCTACAGCATATAGGCAAGTAGAGTTCCACAGCAACCATACACATGTATGATCTATTTCATTTTTTTTTCAATCAATCAGGACATTCATTCTTGCTTTTTGAATAATTTGAAAAGTCTATAGAAGGGCACATAAATTCAGTTCAAGGAACATAATTGTACTAGTGTTCTGTTGTATATTATCATCAACAAATCAAAGTTACCATCCTTGTTGTTTGATATTGTTGATATTTCCTCAAACAGTGATTCTCATAAGGTCATCCAGTCGAGCAAATTTTTTAAAATTTTTATATATTTTTGTTACTCCTATGCATATGTATATGTAAAGAGTGCTAGTGTGCATGTGTATATATTTTTGGGCAACTCCAATGTGTCAGTTCTTGTGACAAAACTATACAGAAATTGAAGTTTTCTAAACTAATTTCTAAAATTTAAATACATCCTCAAGTTGATAGATTAAATTTCTTACAAAACTGTTGTCATGACAAAGACAAAATCGAATCATCAAAATTTCTGATAGTAAAGAAACTAGGCCTATACATGTCTGGTCACCTTACTAGCCAGTGTAATGTTGGAAATGAATTTCCTTCAGAATATAGCTAGCAGTAGGCCTGGGATATCCTCATTGAGAGCAGGAGGAAAAAGTCTTGAACCTCTGCAAAGCAGAACTTCTTTTGAAAAACTGAGCTCAGCAATTAATGAAGGTTAGTAATCTCCATGTTTCAAGAAATCTGTATGACGCTAAAAAAAACTGTAGAGAATAGACCTTGCCAAACACAACTCCAATTTTAAGCTCATAAAACAATGGAAAAGCATTTGTCCATTTTTGACACTGCAGATGTTAATACATGTAAGTCCACTTGAGCCGTAAAACACAATCAGTGGCATTTGAATTAAGTTTTAAAAGTAATGCACAATAGCTGGAGTTATGGATATTCATTAAACAGGTAAAATACATGTGTAATAAGAAGAAGTAATGAAAAACACTTTGCCGCCACTGGGGTTCGAATTAGCAACACTAACCAGACGCTCCATCGCATGACAACAGGGAAATCCAAGGCTAGTAAGGGACCTGTATTTTTTCTCAGCTTCTACATTACCTCCTCCTTTACAAAGTCTTTGACTTGGAGAACAACAACCCAGGTTTGTTATCTTCAAGGAAACACCTCAATTTCCTGAAGCTTCTACCCTTGGAGTAGTCAACAGCAACAAAATTGTAAAAGGAAGGAGTAATGAAGAACACCCTGCCACTGATGGGGTTCCAACTAGTGACCTTTTGGTTTCTACCCAGACACTCTACAGCTCCACTAAAGGGAAATTCCCAAGAGTAATGGCTTGAAAGGCAACCTCTGCTCTCAACTTCAGCATATATACCTCGAGGGGACCCAAGACCACATTGTATAAAGTGATATTCATAAAGGGCGACTTCATAAATGCAATTATAAATAACATAGTAACAAACTGATTACTGAAAAATGGTTACTCAAACTCAAATCCAGGACCATTTCGTATGCATTCCTAACCTGTGAACTATATTTGTACCCGATGGCTAGTGTGCAGCGCTAATTAGCTAACAGAATGACCTACATTATTCGTACATAATTGAATTCAAAACATGAGGGACTTACAGCGTCCCAAACAACAGCTGCTATCCCCAATGTTTTCCATTCCTGTTTGATGACCAGTTCCTTGCCGGCAAATGAAAAGGTTCTGCTAGTTTTGTGGAACGGCGATACCAGGCTCTCGTCATATAATACCAATGCTTGAGATGTCATATCTTTTTCCTCGGAATGACACTTATCTTTTTCACAACTTTCGTTATCTATTAGAGCGTTTGTCACTTGAAGGAAAATAAGTAAAAAGCATTTTGAAACGTCTCCGTTAGTAATCATGTGGTCGATTGTGAAAATGAAAGTAGATTTAACCGGAAGTTTGTTCGGGTGTTTAGTTCCGTATTTAAAATTATAGATATCTCTAAGAAGTCCATTATGATAATGTATTTAATAATATTATCATTCATTATCATAAATAAAAAAGTAATTCAATAATAATGTTGAAAACAGCTATTTTGATTATTGAAATGTTAACAGTGATACGAAACTACAGCCACAAATTTGACGTTGTTTCCATGGTAGCATGTACACGAGTCCATACGTCTACAGCTTGTTTATTATTGCCGTCGGCCTGCAGTCCTCATTGTAATCAAACAGTATGGCGACAACGTCTTCAAAGAAAATAAAGGAGGCTGGTAAGTTCAGTTTTTTTTTATATCAATCTTAAGTAGCGGTGAATTATTTACTTTTCGTTGCCCCATGTCTGTATGGATAACAATGTGTCAATCCGTCTGATAGCAGAATAGGCAATGGCCGTCTTTATTAGGTAAATACATGGATTATTATGTTGTCATACCTCTACTATAGTCGGATCTACCGAAATACGGGGTATTCATCTTGCAACTAACACTGCCATTGTCGAAATACAACTGCCGCTTGTATTTTTGCTGTAAGATATTCACAAACTCCAAAGGTTCGCTACTTGCGTCTTTCTTTAGCCTCGCAAAAATACAGCTTATATGTTAAGACACTGACCATTTCTTTACCATGAATGTGTGTTGGTCATATCACAATCCCTCTCCCTAATTATTTTTATTGTTAAATCTTGGCGGATTGCTAATGTATTGTAGTTGTAGGAACATAACAGGATCTTCTTTGGACGCTGGTCTATTCGACCACTATATATGTCCGCATCTAATTGATCAGTTTCGTCATTTTTACTTTTACGTGACATCTTCCGGCGTTGTCTATGTCCGAGTTGTGGTTGTATTTTACATCCTAGTTTTTCAAAAAATTATCCATTTTTGCTTCAAAATATTTAACAGTTTTTGCTTGCATCACAGATTCTGGTAAATTGTTACAATTATCCACTGTTCTTTAAGTGAAGCTGACCTTTCTCACATTTGTGTTGCAGCACTGTTTATGTACTTTAAGACTTTGTTCCCTTGTGGATGTACTTTTTGTTTTGGCAAAGAATCCAATAGATACATTTTGTCATATGAACCATTCATGATCTTAAACATTCCTATCATATCACGCCTTAGATGTCTATATTTCAGTGTTGGCATCTTTAGTTTCTTCAGTTGGTCACTATAACCATGTCTTTTAATGATGTAACTTGATAGAATATGTTTAATAAATTAAAATAATTTTGAATTACTATTTCCTCAGACCTGAACACCAGACGTTGAACTTCTAGACATAAAAATGAGATAATAAATAATTTATGTACTTACAGTACCATGCAGACAAACAGTAAAATCATTGAAAGGACATACAACATATATACATGAACCTGTATGGATATATACAAATCAAAGTGTAAAATGTATGCCTTATCCAAAAATACATCACACACAAACTACATTATATCTACATATTGTATGTATCGGTTTATGTTGTACAGATAGGTTCATTTATACTAATTGATATGAAATGATGTCAGTCACTAACTTGTAGAAACTGTTTTGTGATATACATTGATTTATTGTTTTGCTTTAGGCTGGTTCTACCATGCCCCAGCCAGGAGGAAGAATGTGGAGCCTGTGCTTGTCCCACCTGCTTCCCAGATACCGGGCCTCAACGATCCTGTGGAGGGTGAAATGATTGGTGATCCAGTCAGACCTCTGTATCGTGACACAGACACAAAATATATACGACTTGCTAAACAGGGAGGTAGACAGAGTAAGTATTGATGTAGGTAGAAAGACAATTATCAATATACCCTAAAAACTTGAAAAAGTAACATGTGGCTTATTTTCTTTAACAATGTAAGCAAATACAGGTATATTGATATAAGAAACTACAGACTTGTTTTCAGGATAGGCTTATTTCTGAAGTTTTTTAGTTTGTTTTTGTTTTGTTTTTAAGTTTTTAGAGTATTATAATGCATGTGTTCTTAAACTCACTTTGTTGAGTTTAATTATAAATATTCCATGAATCCTACATTTTATTTGGTCCTACTTGTATTTCCAACCAACAGCCTTTGAATACAATATCAGTGATAGTGGGTAATGTGAATCAATCAGGTTAAGTACACCATAATATATTTATTATTTTCTATTTTTTCCTGTCAGATTTGCTTCAATTCAAAGAAAATCCAAAGATGTCAGAGAGACCTTGTGTTGGTTACCCGCGATCAGAATGGTTTTATCTAGAGGACAATGCTATAGAGGATGCTGCTTCAGAACCAGACACAGGGTGAGTATTGATCGATGATTATCATGGAATATACCCAGAATGTGTTTAAGAATTGATTCAAATTAAAAATTCAAGAGTAAAATTAAAAATGATACTAAATATCATCTATCATAAAATAATAGAAAAAACCAGGACAAAAAAAAAGTAGAAATTTTCAATGGAATAAAAAGGCTACTATTTGTTGTACAATATTATGTATACATAATGTATAAACTGCTTTTAGAGAATACACAATTAATAAAGGTCCCTTGGGTTATGATATCTGTAGTCATTTTGCCATGTTCCAAGAAAAAACAATACCTGTAGTCTGCACAATTTATCAGAAAACAATTCATCATTAAGAAAAACTATAGCTTATGTGAAACGTTGCTGTTTATGGTTGTTAAACATAAGTATATGACCTTGTTTTGAACTTACAAATTTGACAAGATTTGTAAATATTCTTTTTATTAAACATGGACTTTGTATCTATCTCTGTTACAGAAAATATAAATCAAAGTAATTTGATAAAAAAAAAACAAGAAAATATGATTCACACTTTTGTTTTACATTTCTTTTTAATGTGAGTTTTTATTTTTTAAATTCTTTTGTCAGAAAATATGAGTTTCGTGTCCCTGAGTATATGTTCCATGATGTTCACCAGCCCTCTACAGATGAAAACTACCTAAAAGCAGGTCGCACGCCATACGCATATGACAAGCTCTCTGCATATGACAGAGAGGGCAAAAATGTGAAGAATAAGACACTTAAACTTCCTGAGGTCAAGAGGTCAGGGTATGGCGTGAGGATTGCCAAACCTCCTAGAGTAAAGTCACATCCACAGGAACGCACAAAACCTTCAGATGCTGCCAAAATATCACAACTGGAGCGAGAAAGACCACATCTGAAATATCTTCCGCTGTATGTATACTCTTTATTAACTACTAGCTATATGATTTAGATGTCAATCAATACTTGTAATTTAAGTTTTATGGCTGGATACACAGATATTAATTTTTATTCATTTAGAAACAAGGAAAACCTTGGTTTCATATTTGTATATTTTGACTTTCAAATTTTTTGAGAAATCAGATTGAAGTAAATTGAAAATAGTAAACTTCCATATGATTAAATGAAAATAAATTTGAAACCTGAATCGTTCCACAGAAACATCGGGTGTTTCACTCATGCATGTAAAGTTTTCATCGTATTTGATTTGTCTGTTTTTTTCAAAATTTTGAAACAAGTCATTATGCTCCCCAAAGAGAGCGCATATAGTCACCGCTTTGTCTGTCCCTCCCTTTGTCTGTCCATCATAATTTTGTCCAGAGCATTACACTAACACTACATAAGAGGTAACAGCAGGAAACATGAAAATCCTTGTCACCTCAATTTTCACATAATTTAAGCTACTTGAATTAGATTTTCCTTCATTATTTTAAGAAATATTGCAAAAATCAGACAGTATTTCGATAATTTCTATATCACATTATCTACATCATACCATCAACATGTTCATGAATAACAACAGCAAATAAAAAAATCTGTTAAAAGACTATGCGTATATATTCTTTCTCATGAATAAAATTTCAGGAAATGAGTATGAATAGATATTTTTTACAACATCCGTTATTGTCAGTTAAAATAAGGTGCAATAACCATTTTTTCTGGTAAACATTTTAATAGGCCTGAAGAAGAAAAGGACAAGGCAAAGATGACCAAGATATTGTCCTTTGCATATGATCGAGAGTGGCAGGACCGCATCACAAAATGGCAGGCACAACAGGACAAAGTTCGGGATAAGCACCGCGCCATGCTAGCAGCAGACACTCAAATAGACAAGGAACCAATCAACACCGAGTACAGAACGACCATTGGAAAACAGATCGGAAGTTCCTATAGAAGATCAGAGTATGTACACAGATATTACACACTGGGAGACATGAATGCCCCATTATAGTCCAGAAAAAATACTAAATTTGAATTTTGCTCTATTTATTAACTCCTTTCCACCAATTCACACTGAAATCAGTTTCTGACCAATTGCACAATTTTTGTCTAATTGCTTCTGTCAATTGCTGTATTATAAGATAATTACTGCATAAAATTCATTATCATTGTCAATGTTCATCACCTGACTTTTGCGAGCCTTGTTTTAACATGCCGTTTTGATATGATTTCTTAATATGTGTAATTAGCCAAATCTTAATTAGCCAGCCATGTTTCAATTCTGACTTTGTAAAATGACCTCTTGTTTCATACTATACGTGTGACAAAGCAAAATAAATGAATTTGAATTAATCTGAATCTAAAATTGCATGCCCAAAGACATTGTTTACACTCTATGAATGAAAATGATATGTACAGTATTAGTATTAGTGTTGGGTCGCTCCTATTTGATTTCAATTTTTTGACGTTGTTGATAAAATGGTTATGCAAACTTTAAAATATTATAATTAATAGAAAGTACACAATTCTTAACAGATATTTAAATGTGATAACCTTTTAACACGTGAAATGACAAATTAATAGCTCTTAAAAGTAATCAATGATTATATAAAGATCTTTTCATTTCTACTTCTACTACTGCATTATAATATATGTAGTTAACAGTATGGAGATAATGTTTTTCATTATTTGGCCCATGTTTGTCGATTTCAGGAAAGGAAAAAAACAGAATGAGCCATGTTATTCCACACAGTCCAATCCAGAACAGCAAAATAATGATGACGGTAAAAAGGCAATGTCCCAGAAAGAAAAAGAACTGTTCAAGTTATCCAGGTAAAAAACTGTTCCATAATCTTTCTTTATTTAATTCTTTTTTTCAATTTCTTTATTTGATCTTTTTGATATTCCTTCAACCTTATCATTTGATAATTGTGAATTTGTTTTTTGTAGTAAAAGTAATTTCCTGAAGATTGATACAGAATGACTAAATCATACTTTTGTATCCCTATTTTATTGTCTCGACAGATTTAAGTACCATTTTCTCAAGAAACACATTATTTTTACTATTTGGTGAACCTGTCTGTGATTTTCCTGTTTGGGTGCAAATGAGGCATAGATTGAATAATTTGGCTTTCTATGAGATTACCGTTTATCTTTCTGGTTTTTTGGAATTTGGTTTACCAATGTAAAAGCTGTTTTGTTAGTGATTCTTACCACAGGACAGCATAAAACCACAAAATACAATGTAAAGTAGCCGATTCAAAATGGCTTCATCCTGTTGTATGGGGTAACGTCAAACTATCTGACGTCAACAAAAGAGGCTTCTAATAATTCCTTTTTGAACATCAGTTTAATTTATGTTTTGACCAGCTTTTTTCCTGATCTTTTCTCTTTAAAAATTTAATAAGAAATAATCGCATCAATTTCTAGAAGGACGGTACATATCTGACCTGTTTACAAAAATCTGAAGATATCTATTGTGTTTTTTATCTTCCTTTTAGGTTCAAAAACATTCCATCCAAGGTAGACTCTCATAATGCTGTGAAGGCTGAGGTTCCTGTGGTGGCTGCTCATTAGTTTTGTCTCTAAACTTAAAATATGAGGGCAATATATTAAGCATTGACAAATTCAAAGTATTGTTCAGTGACTTCAGGGGCTGTTTACTGAAAGTGATCTATAAAGAGGAATGGATTTTCCTGGTCAAATAATAATATAACTTTGATTTCTTAAGAGACAGTTGAAATATTCTATTAAAATAGTTTACATACAGAACCAGTGCAATATAGATGAGATCATTCTGTGTTGTCTCATTTGTAAGCAAACTAGATGTATGAATATGATTAATATTTTAATTTCCTGATATTGTTTTTTTTTTTTCATCGATATGTTAATGATGTACAGATAAAAACCTGATACTGTTGTAAGGGAATATTGTTATATATGTACATGTATCAGTGAGATTTCAGTCGCTTAAAATATCAAAATTTGTTTCCTTTTTATAAGATCTAAAGACAGATGTCATCAAGATCTTAATCATCATGTCACAGCGATTGGTTTGATTTTTTTTTTCTTTTTTAAGTGCTAAGGTAATGAGTATTATATATTTTTATAACTCTTTGTAAAACACTAAATTATAAATTTACTTTTTATTTGAAATCACATCAAATTGGTATTTTAAATTTGTGTCTAATATCATGACCATGTCATGCTACACATATTTCAAGTCATTTTGACCTGGTAATTCTTAATTTAAATATGTCAATGCATTTGTATGTTTGTAATGTGGAATATTGAAATTTTTACAGTGAAAACTTATTCATATTTCACTGTATTCCAGTTAATCTGTAACAGATGATAGATGGAAAGTGTAATAGAATGTAAAACGGAAGGAAAATATGTGCAATGTGTAACCATTGTTCTAATACAGCTGTGTAATGCCAACTTTTCCAAAAGTTTGATATTTAAATCTAATATGCCATGTTCTCAAAACATAAAACATAAAAAAATATTCAAATTGGTTTTAAAAACATATTTAGCAGTACATGTATATAAAAAAGTGATAATAATAAATACAATTATACTATGATGTGTTTTGTTGTCTTCCTCAAATTCCAAATTCTTCACTGCTCAACATTTTTGTTTGCTGAAAGTTTTAATATAACAATACTGAACTGATTTTTCATTTCAAAATAATTAATAATAAATTGTTGGTGAGTTATAAATCTATTAAATATTGTGCTTAAACAAGTATTTAGATATATGTACTGGAGGTGAGGGAGGAGGGGGTGGTTGAAAGGAGTAATGTAGGAGAATTATCTGCCTCATTGTGTGTGATCACAACAATTTTTTTATTTGTCTTTTATTTCAATATAAACAATAAATAGTTTATTTCCTAGGAAACTGAAGATTTGAGGGGCAAAATGACATGAACAGTGGTATCATCCTTTAGGTTGGTAACACGTTTGTCACATCTACATGTTCGTAGTTGAAATATCCCAATCACCACATTTACTGTAGATATGTGCTTAATAAAACAATTACATACTATTTTCATTCAGTTTTAAAATAATCGCTTTAAAATTGTTTTCATCATCTGCCAAAATTTTGAAATTATAAACTGAAGATTATAGTTATTCTGTTATTAGCTAAATCATGCCTTATCCAGGAACACATACATTTCACTGTTTTGTGATATTATCATATGAAAGTGTATTAAGAAGTGCGCTGCCACAGCATCAGCATGTTTGTACTATACACTTGGTATTATGCATAATGATTTTTGGCCAATTCCATCCGGAATCTTATATGTAATTTATGTAACAATGTCATCTACAAATAAAACTACTTGTAGAAAAACTCACAGCATATTTAATTATCTTTTTCTTAAGAAACACATTATTTCATGAAATAGACTATTTGTTCAACCTGTCTGTGATGACCCAATAAAGGAAGTAGAAAGTGCTGGTGCCCTATAGTAAACTTGATGTCCGTCTGTTTGGCCCTCTGTCAGTATCTCGCTGTCTGTCCATTTGCACACCTGTTGTCCGTGTGTCATAAACTAACATTTGTCCGTAGATTTCTTACAGTTTCTTTTTCAAACTTAGTAGGTTAAATGACCATGACAGGAAGTTGTATTTTATTTTTTATAATTGGTATTTCTGGACTCGACTGTATTTGGAAGAGTTTCCGACCTTTTTAAATAACAATATTCATCTTGTCCATCTTGAAGTTGTGTTTCCTACACAGCAGTTTTTGAAGTAGTTATTGGTCATTGGTTTTTAAACATTTCAATGTATGGAGATCCCCGTCCTTCGTTTTACACCAATTTCACTGACACTCGGTAGGCTTAATAACCATTAAAAATGGTGATTCCTTATTAGGGCCCCACATCGAGATATATTACCATGGACTCAATAAGTAGATTTATCGATGAAACTTTTTTTTCTGTTGGCGTGACATAAAAATACTTATGAACCTATCTGACTGCCTTTCTAGATATGACTTACATTCGTATTGGTGACACTAACTAACTGCATAAGTAGTATGATGACGTGGCGTAATAAGAAGACATATTGGTCTGCTATGTGATGTGACATGACAAAAAAACTATCAGCGATTGCCTTTGATGACGTCACGTAATCAATGACCATTGATGTTGTGACGTGTAAAGTAGATTTTGTGTGTATGTTGTGCTGTAAAAATTTCATTCTTATTTCTACACTTTCCTGAATTGTTCAGTGCGATCATCAGTCTCCTCTATCTGACTTACCCACCGTGTTTTGTAACGTACGTAAAACCAGATTTATTGACGGATTTAACTTCGTCTGCCGTTTTATCTTACTGACTGTAGTATGACAAGAATTATTTTATTTTCTTGCATTTTCATCGTTCTTAAGAGATTGCTGTCGACGTTGGTGTCTATTGTAGTCTAGTATTTTACATCTTTCAAACGTTTCTAGATTTGTTGACTAATAGATATTTAAATAGATGTTAATCAAAGAGTTTGGACCATTATTTGTCTACACTCGTGTCCTTATCCATCATGCTCCATTTCTCACTTCATCGCTGGAGACTGGTTTGTGACCCATGTTGTAAATAACATTTTCCCTGTTAGTAAGACTGAAGTGTAATAGGTGAAGCTGTATGATGCTGTATAATCTATCGTTAGGCCATACTGTTTCCTATTCTAATCTGTTTAAGGTACTACTCGCTTGAGTATATTCAATAAAATCCCTTGGAAGTGTTTTCAAGTATTTAGTCAAAAATGGATGATTTCTCACGGTTGCGGTTGATTGTTTTGGCCAATCAATCTCCTTCAGATTGAAATTCCTTTCAATAATTAGATAGAATGGGGTTATTTATAGCATATAACAATAAATAAAATAACAGTGATTAAATAAATCAAGAAAAGAATCAAAAACAAAAGAAAGGTGTCGTGTCGTTTAATTCAAAACAAAATAACCCATGTCATGTATATCCGGTTATCGGAGGTCTATCTGATGTGTTTTTGGATCCAATCCCTGTAGCAGCTTATTCTAGTATAGACACTAGGATGATTGACGGCACAGCCAAAATGACCAAATGACGTAACGCCAACAAGCACTTTCCCACAGCTGAGTGCTCCACCGCTGTCACCCTACAAAAATGAGAACGGAAATACATCGTATATACTATAAATCAAATCATTACGAATTTTAACAGTTACCTTAGCAGAAGGTGAAGGACGGTAAAGCTAGCAGAAGGTGAAGGACGGTAACGCTAGCAGAAGGTGAAGGACGGTAACGCTAGCAGAAGGTGAAGGACGGTAAAGCTAGCAGAAGGTGAAGGACGGTAACGCTAGCAGAAGGTGAAGGACGGTAAAGCTAGCAGAAGGTGAAGGACGGTAACGCTAGCAGAAGGTGAAGGACGGTAAAGCTAGCAGAAGGTGAAGGACGGTAACGCTAGCAGAAGGTGAAGGACGGTAACGCTAGCAGAAGGTGAAGGACGGTAAAGCTAGCAGAAGGTGAAGGACGGTAACGCTAGCAGAAGGCGAAGGACGGTAAAGCTAGCAGAAGATGAAGGACGGTAACGCTAGCAGAAGGTGAAGGACGGTAAAGCTAGCAGAAGGTGAAGGACGGTAAAGCTAGCAGAAGGTGAAGGAGGTAAAGCTAGCAGAAGGTGAAGGACGGTAACGCTAGCAGAAGGTGAAGGACGGTAAAGCTAGCAGAAGGTGAAGGACGGTAACGCTAGCAGAAGGTGAAGGACGGTAAAGCTAGCAGAAGGTGAAGGACGGTAACGCTAGCAGAAGGTGAAGGACGGTAAGGAGCTAGCAGAAGGTGAAGGACGGTAACGCTAGCAGAAGGCGAAGGACGGTAAAGCTAGCAGAAGGTGAAGGACGGTAACACTAGCAGAAGGTGAAGAACGGTAACACTAGCAGAGGTGAAGGACGATTAGTAACATTAGTTTAAGGAGGCAAGGCATGATAGAACAAAAAGAAAGAGTTTAAATGATGGCAACAAACTATTCCAATTTCTGCAATGTTGATTCTCAATAACAAAAAAACCACAAAGAGACACACAGGCGTCTAATTCTGAAAGGCGCACACATAAGCAACCTTTCTGTGCTTATAAAATATAGCAAACGCACGCCTTACAATTATCATCTACATTGGAAACATGGAGAAATTACTCTAAACTTGCTACGTCATTGCAACTACAACTTTCCACGGTTACGGTATATCACCTGTACGCTCGGTTGCTATTTAGTTAGAACATGTACGTGCAATTTTACCGTGATCAACACACCTACATGGTTTATCTAGCAGATTATAAAAATGTTCAGAATCATACATATATGTACCTAGGTTCATTTTAACATTTACTAACAATCGTTATTTCACGTTTAGTTATCGAAATCTGACGAGACCTATATTGAAAAGTCTTGTAATGATGGCTATTTTCGAACATGTGCTTGGAATTGTACAGTGGCGGTCTAAGAAAATGGATGCATATATTAAGCTAGTTATATTAAATGGCTTTTGAATATGTAGGTAGGTTAAAATAAGTTTGTCCCTGTTGATGTATCAGTTAAAACTTTCACACGGTTTTGAATTATTTAAAACATTGTCTGAATGCCGTCGCTAAAATGTCGTGTTTTGATATTGGGAGGATGTCTGCCATCCACCACGGCATTGTGAGGACAGAAAACAAATCACGGGTAGAACCTTTAGGACCAAGGAACTCGAACAAACATGCGATCGTAGTATTCTAACTTAGGCATGAAAAGTGTCAGAATGTTTCAGTTACGTAGGACTTACAAAGCAAGCTCCATTATATCCGGTGTACACACACACATGACTTTTCTTGATAAAGCTTTTACCCGCCCTCTTCTTACAGTCTGACACAGTGAGTACTTTGGTCCGTGCCTTCTGCAGTTTGTTGGTACGAATTAATGCTGAAATGAATATATTTATTTTCAACAGCGTATTATCATTTAAGAACAAGAGGCCCATGTATATATGGCTCGCTCTTACTTTAGCTCGCTGAAATTGCTTCATCAAAACTTAATGGAAAGTGTTTAGGCCCCGCCCCTTAGTCCGATGGGGATCAGATGTACTGTTTATACAAAAGTAAGTTCCTTTTACCCTTGCAAGCTTCAGACCAAAATTGAGGCAAAATTCAATAATTCTTAACGAACAAGAACACTGGCTGTATTTTCCCTGCTGTAACTCACTCCACCCTCCCCAGGGGGCCGAGACCCACTGTTCCTCTTATTTCCTAATTAATTCCTCTTGTCCCAAAAATGCTTGCAAATTTGAACATAATCCTTACATTCCTACACAAGTAGAAGGATTTTCAAATATTTGCTCATTTAGTATACTAGACTCACTCCTCCACCCCCACTCCCCCCAACTCCCCCCAACAACAAATGGGCTTAGGGTGCCGTGACACACTTTACCATTGATTTCCCTTCAGCAAACAATGCAAGTCCAACTTCACTCCTACAAGAGAATAAGGACTTGAAGAATATGCTCTATTGCTGCCATTGGGTCCCGCCCTTCCTGCGACAGGGGGTCGTGATGGCCGATCGTTTACATAACATTTATTTCTCTTCACTCAAGGATACTTCAGACCAAATTTGGGCAGAATTCAAACACTCCTACAGTTGAGGAACATTTCTGGTTTTGGGCCCCGCCACTCCTCCTCTGGACGGGTATGACCCGCATGTTATACAACATTGATTTACCTTACCAAACAATACTTAAGGCCAACTAAGTGTAAAATCCAATATCTCGTATTGCTATCGAATTTGCTTTATGTTTTTAATGGGCCATACCCCTTCTTAGTGGGCCGAGACACACCACTTATACAAAATTGATTTTCCCTTAACCCAACAAGGCTTCAAACAAAATAAAGACAAAATCCTATCACTATTTCCCTTTAGGGCACCGCCCCACCCGCATAATGAAGCCGAGACCAAGCGATGCTTCAGACTAAATTTGTGCAAAATCCAAGGATTGAAAAAATGTCTCCTTTTGGGCCCATCCCTCGTGTTCCTGGGGGCCGAGACCCAATATTTACACAACTTGTGTTTCCTTTTCCTAAATGATGCTTCTGACACAAATTTGGTATGGTTTATGACAAGAAACGTTTTGTATGGAAAATGTTGACAGAAGACGGTAGACGGAAACGGACGACGGACTTGGCGGTATGTCCTTCGAACCAGATGAGCTAATAAGAAAAGAAATATTTACTCCTTAAAAAGTTCAAAAGAAAAAGACCATCTGCTTCATCGACCATGCTACTATTTAAATTCTGGTCAATCCAAGTAGATTATGTCACATTCCCAAATGAGAACACAGTAGACAATAAATAAAAACCCTCCAAAATATAGTCGTTTATGTACCCATAGTTGTCGTATGATCAGGACAATAATTACGATTTATTAAATAACTATATATCAATTTCCTTATTGGTTTTCATTTTTCAAATACATATTTAAGATTAATCATCATTTTAGTAAGCATGAACATGGATTCGTGAAAGTTCTTGAGAAAATGTTTCTGTACTTACAACCATTAACGTCTAAGATCCTCCCCCATCCTGTAATGATACATTTTGCTCCAGCAAAGTCGTCGTCGCTCTTGGGAATTGCAATTGTTTTGGCCAGGCGATGTGATGGTCCTGCTATATCTCTATCAAACTTAAGGATCGCTATGTCGTTGCGAAATTTCTTGAAATGTGGATGCTGTCAACCATACAAACAGTTGAAAGAATAAAAAAAAAACAACTGTAGCACCTTTTAATGCAGATTTAGACACAAATTTACAATAGGGTTAAAGAATGAATTAGACCTCATCCCACTTTTGTTTCGTCCTTAAAGGACTCATCAGTGATGCTAACAGCCTACATTTTGAATTCTGATAGGCGACTGAAGAAGTTGGTATGCTAGAATGTTGGCCTTTCCAATCTAAGGTGAATATCCGAGGTGCGCATTTCGACACTCCCTACCAATAACGGGTTCTTTACCTTAAGAAGTTTAGAAAGGGAATGGTCTGTCTAATTGTTCTGGACGACATATGGCGTACCTACAAGAAGACTCAAAATGACCCTGGCCTTTCACGGGGCGTTAAACATCGCAAACAAACTATGTAGTTTTCTCGAACCTATTTGAATTAGTTGTTTAATCTGAATTCCTCCTTACACATGTCTACCGACGGTCAAAAACATGAGGAACGGATTAGAGTATGATCGTGCTTGTTTCCGTGATTACTTGACATCTCCGAAGGTTTCTGTGGCAGATACTATTTGATAATTTTGGAAAGTTTCTGTGCTAAATAATATTTGATCCAGTCGGAAGGTTTCTGTGCCAGATACTATTTGATCCTTATGTAATAGATTTTCACTGTATTAAAGACCACCAGTCCACTGGCTGATGTTATAGCGACCAACTTCCATATTAACCACGTGCCAAGTTACAAGGTAGCCCTCTAATACAGGGTTGGATTACTTTAATACAATGATGTCAGAAGTATTGGTCAGGAATGGAAAATATCTCAAGTAGTTTTCCTCATAGTGTTGTGGTTTCATTTTCGGTTTTATCGCATTGTCAATACAAGGTACAACACATAAAGGCATTGAGCGATAGAAATGATATCGGACTGATTTCCGATCATGTATGAAATATTTTACTTTCAGCAATGTGAATATTAGTTTTTAGGTGATATTGTAACGTTTCTCCCATGACTTTCTATTTCTCACCCTGACTTGAATTAAGCCATGTACTCGATTCTTCCCAGGTTACGGCCAATTTTCAACAACCTCCTCTAAAACACTTCTTATAAAGTTGACTTTTCCACAGGTTGATGAAAGGTTGAGAAATATTCTATTTCAGTGTGCGATACGAATGTGTTTGGGGCTCGTTAGGTTGCTTATTGATTCCGTTGTTGTATACCTTTTTCTCGTTTGGAAATGTGCCATTATTTACTTGGATTGACCATGATTTACATGGCTGGTGCCTTGGATGAAGCAGACGACGCTTACGCTTTCTGTTCTGGAACACCTGGTCTCATTCATCTTGTGCATTTTTATGACCATAAGAGAAAATCTTTCTTTTGTTAATATATTGCCCTAGTTTATTGAGTTGGAGTTGAATTATGATTATGTGGACTTGTTGGTAATTTCTCTGCATCCCTGGAACATTTCATTACAAAACTGTACATTACATGTTCGACACCTTGTGGATAGGATGAGAAGACTATTCTGGTCCTTTATTGTACATCAAACAAATCTCGGGGTGGCATAACGGCACGTCATGTATTGCCTTTGAAGTAGAGTGTCGCACCTTTGCAATCTTCAATAGATAAATATCAGTCTGTGATTGGTCAGTTTATTCTTACTGAAACCCAGTTTAGATAACCAATCAAATAATTCGCTTGTGCCTTCAATTTTGCCAGGAAATGTCCCAGGGATGTAGAAAGCGAAAATGATCATAACCCTTGAATTATAGAAGAAGCCCCTGGAGTATCGAAAATGCCCCTGGATTAACGAGGATGATATCGCCATTGCAGCAGTGATAAATAAAATGTAGTGTGGGAAGGGGAGTGGTGCTAAGTATAGCAACTTCTCTTTCACTATGAATCAGAAAAGCTCCTGTACAATCCAGTAGGAACTACGCTTTCGTTAGCATGTCTGCATTTTTTCCTGTGTCATCTTTTTCAACAAGAGGTCGTGATAGCTGAATAACTCTTCTCATACAGTTTACACAAGTGTCACCTTTTCTTGTTTCCTTTTTTCTATCTTAATGTATAATTGATATCACTTTGCATTATTGAAATGTAAATAAAACAAAGATTGTATAAAAGACACACAAGTGAATGACACCTTTTCATAATTAGAGTGAGATACAGTAGAGTCAAACAATGAATTAAACTGCATCTTATTGCTCGTCAGTGATGCTAAGGGCCTAAATTTGTTTGTCTGAAGGTAAGAAAAGATTAACTGTTTTTGTATCAAATGCTTCCATTAAATCAGCTACGTTCTCATAGGAACAAACTTTGCGCCTGCCTCTCTTGTCTGTTGTTCAACATGCGGCATTTAAATATGTTGTGAAATGTAATGACTATACTTACGGTAATGATCTTTCTTACTGCAACAACAGTCCCCTTATGTCCTGAAAGCTTTGTTGAACCAACTTTGAGAGTAAATGACCTAAAAATAATTTTATAGGAATAAGTACGCAACACTGATGACAATAAAAGTGAAAATTAAACCGAATGCATATATTGAAATGAACAACAAATGTACATTATATCTGAACGGAATCAATATTTATGACTTCAAGCAATGAAAGACTGATTTACGCTCCATATTTCAGTCATTCTGAATTTCTGCTTGGATGTTTGGGGGACTAATTTGTTAAAGCTTAAATGTAAAATAGATTTAGCACGAATTGAAGTCTACGACCTTTGTGTTTATTGTCAACCGTTTTGTTGATCAATTAGGACGAACGTCCTGTATCAATTTTTATTTAAGTTGGTACTTTACTTGACATTAAGCACTTTATTTCACTTCAATGCAGTTGACCCATTTCGATAACAATACAGGAAAACAGACTCCGTACTGTCAGTATGCATGACATGGTATGACATTTGTGAAAAATAATATGAAATTATTATCCGATTTCTAGGCATGCTTCATTTAAGCATTGAAGAATAAGCCGCCTTCAAAATCGGAATATGTTGATTTCATAAATATTGGATCAGACCGAGAAAAACAAATCTAACCTGAAAACAAACAATCAAACAAGAGGTTGTTATATATATGGTAATAGGTCCATAATACGTATATTAAAAATACCAAACGACCAATGCAAGTAATCATCGATGAGACTGAAGGGTTACAACATATAAGGTGTATCTAGAAATTAATTGAACATATTGTTTAAATCAGAGTTCATTGTTTTCAAAGTTTTGCCCGTTGAGTCCGTTGCTGTATATTTCCCCCCTCTTTTGATAAGCTGACATGGATTGACCAATATTTACATGGTGGGTGTCGTCGAAAAAAACGCTCACTCTTGTTTACCAGTGGTTAGTAAAACTGAAATAATTTCTATTTAAAAGTCAATTCGTTAAATGCGGAATTAAAATCGAAAAAAAAATCCAAACATGCCACAACACGTCTACAGCTATAAAATGATTTAATGATTCAAATTTGGATTAAATCGTGTTTGAAAAATTTCACTAACCACTGACAATCTTAAGCCAGATTTTGAACAACCAAGCACAGGTTTATTCTCCTTGTACTTTTTTCAAGAGCTCCGTGTAGATATTCCTTTTGTTTTGCCCTAGTTTTATTGAATTAACGTTTTGGATTATGATTCAGTTGACATGTTGGTATTCTATTGTTTTTAAACCGCGGGCGATCACAAGATAAGCCAGATTTGCTTAATGCGTTTTTGCTGATGCGATGAAGTATCACATATATCTCGCAAAACTTTGTATATCCATGGTGTCAACCAACGTTTAAAAAGATGCCGTTTTACCAATGATTAATTGTCCTCTATATGTTCATGAGGTGATACTCTTTGTATATATAATTATCAAATAAAAAAAAACAGTGAAAAATGTTTTACCGTGATCTGCCTTTAACACAATGAGCGGCAGTGACTGCTGTTCTTGTCGCAATAACGGCTGCGCCACATACATGATGAGAGAAAATCCGAAGTGACGCTTGCCAAGGAAATTCACTGATGTCCGCATCTTCTCCGTTGATGATTCTTGAACTCTTCCTTTTCGCCATAGACTTAAAAGAATAGCCATAAATTAATCAACTTATAAGGACATGAATGATATACAAGACACACAAGTGTTAAGCACATTTTAATACAACTTTATAGCTAGATAGTAAAGATAAACGGTGGTTTAAACTGCGTCATACAGCTGTTTCGTCCTTCTAGTACTCGTCAGTGATGCTAGTCTAGAAGGCAACTGATTGCGATTGAAAGAAAAGTCAAAATCTAGTCAGGGATATGTTCTTGCCCTATATTTCAATAACCTTCATAATTTTCATGTATACGATAATTTTACACTTAACCGTGCCACTATTCGAATGAATGAAAACGTGGCAAGCAGTTTACGGCAAACCCCAGTGACTTTAAGTTCACTAGCAATTTCTACCGTCTACATCATGAAAGATACTTAAAAAATTACGAACCCACCATTTTCATATAGATAACAATATTAACACACTGTGTTCCAATCTGATTTACATGTAGTTTTATATTTTTGAAAACGTTACTCTTTCTTGAAGAAAATTTATTCGTCTAAGAGAATTGGAAGGACTTTTCTAATCCTTCAAATATAACGGTAAGTGCCATAGAAGAGACCTATTCCCAACATGAATTCAAAATGCACCAAAAATAACATTTTCTTTCAATGTTTGCATGAAATTACAGTGTAGGATTTCGTAAAAAAAATAATTTGTGAAATTTTCTGAATGAAATTAACATAAAAGTTTCTGTATATCATATTCAAAATTTATTGAAAATTAAATAGTCATAACATGATATTAAATGAATAATATCCAAGTTAAAGATTTAGTTTTAAAGAACTTGGAAATAAAATATCTATAGAAAATGTGTCAAGGGACTCATTATGCTACAACTGTTTGCCGATCTGAACAAAACAACAATCAATAAGTACTAGATAAAATATTTGTGTTGGAAAACGTCATAAGATACGTAGTTTCTAGTCCTTATAAAAGATTTCCAAAACAATTTTAACTTTATCGATATCTACGAAAAAATGCAATTTACCATCTTGTTCTTAATCAAGTGTTGACTTCGATGGCCAAAAGTTGGATACTTGTCACAAGCTGCAAAATTAATTTGAAGGCTTTTTTTATAATTGTTACAATTGTAATATCGAAATCTAGTCACTATCAGGTATAAATTAAATATATACAGACAGTAGTGATTATTCATTTAAATTATTTAATTAATCAATCAATTCATTCGTTCATTAAATGACACAGTAATTACTTTCAACATTTTATCTAACATTTTGTATTTCTACAATTTACTTAAACTGTTCTTTCCAACTTCCTTAAACGCTCACATTAAGATCAAAATTGGTATCCAGCTCGATTATAAAGCAGAAATTGAAGACTTCAGAAATTCTACAGATAATCATTTTATCTCTAATTTCATTTATCTATACATTAGATGTGGTCCATTCCAAGCCACACATAATGAAGCCTAAGATTCGCTGACACGGTTTCTCAGTAGAGACACGTGCCAATGCTACTTAACTTTCATCACATGCTTTGTGATCCAACCGATAGGTTGTGTGATTTCGCATATGTAAGAAATACACAATAAGGTTGTTTTTCTCAATAATCAAACATGTAAAATTAAATCAGAATTGCGGCTAGGCTGTTTTAAGAAGACTTGCATAAGAAAATTGTTGTACGACAACGACCAAGGTGATGCTTGAATACAACACTTACCCACAAAAGCAATTAAGCACATCGCAATAATGTACTTCATTTCGGCTGTATGCCTGTTGACTAGATTGTTCAACAGGTGGCAAAAAGCGTTCCTAACTAACGTGCAAGCCCTCTTCCGGCGATGTAACTCAACCTACGAATTAGTGGTAATTGGAGGATTAAGTAGAGTAGAGGACAGAGTTAATTTCATGGCGGGTAAACATTCTTAATAACGATTATATTTTTAAAATAAAAACTCCTTTCGTTAAGATATAAACAGAAATGCCTTGTCTTTCTTATCAACCTGTTTTTGTTAAATGTTGAAGTAATGGAATTCAACAGAGCTTATTGTAATAGTCAAAGACTACAGAAATGCGACAGAGCTGTATTATAATGACTAAAGTCTAATAAAATAAGCCAGAACTGTGTTTTAGAGGCATTGACTCTCACGTTAAACACTTTACCAAGAGTCATATGGTGCTGATACATATTAAATTAGTACTTATCGCATCTGTCTCCATTACATTTAACTCGCATGACTGCGTGTTTTCCTATAAGTTCAGTTCAATATACACAGCTGATCACGAAAGACTTTATAACATTTCCTTTAACTAGAAAATGTTCGTAAGACATGCAACTTCAACATCCCCACTCCCTTGCATACAATATGTATATTTGGAGAGGTTCTGGAGACACGTTTTATTGACATTGAACGGACGGACGGACAGGGGTAACACTATCACACCATATAACCCCTCCCCTGTAAACTCCTGAAAGTACAATTATCTTGTTATCTTCGTTCAGAGTGAAAAGTTATGTTCTTTCATGATCTGCATGTATTTGTACAAAAAATAACAGTAATTTGAATACAAACCTTACATAGTGTGTACAATGATATCACATTTCACAGAATAACACAATTTTTGTATACAGACATAATACAATTTTATACAGTGATAACACAATTTTATACAGTGATAACACAATTAATACAGTGATAACACAATTTTATACAGTGATAACACAATTTTATACAGTGATAACACAATTTATACAGTGATAACACAATTTTATACAGTGATAACACAATTAATACAGTGATAACACAATTTTATACAGTGATAACACAATTTATACAGTGATAACACAATTTTATACAGTGATAACACAATTAATACAGTGATAACACAATTTTATACAGTGATAACACAATTTACAGTATACAGTGATAACACAATTTATACAGTGATAACACAATTTTATACAGTGATAACACAATTTATACAGTGATACAGTGATAACACAATTTTATACAATTAATACAGTGATAACACAATTTTATACAGTGATAACACAATTTATACAGTGATAACACAATTTTATACAGTGATAACACAATTAATACAGTGATAACACAATTTTATACAGTGATAACACAATTTTATACAGTGATAACACAATTTATACAGTGATAACACAATTTTATACAGTGATAACACAATTAATACAGTGATAACACAATTTTATACAGTGATAACACAATTTTATACAGTGATAACACAATTAATACAATAGAGAACAGTTGCTTTCATATAAAAGTAGTCTTTAAATTGAGATTTGATTACTTTTTAATCGCTTATATAGGAAACTTAAACAAAGTGGTTTGTAAACATGTATCTGTTGTATCGAACTGGTGATTATTTCGATCAGATCGCTTAGACGGTACCAGCACTTATAACTATTTAATTAAAAACAGAATAGAAAGTTTGCTTACATCCGCGTATCATGATTATACATCTTATCTGTACCGTAAAACAAACGCTAATAAAGATTGAAATCTAAATGTAAGCTAAAAGTCTTCGTATAAATTTTAAAATTTAGCTGGAAAAGATGGGAAAAAATCAGGTTTATTGAATAAAATATGTAGGAGCTGCTGAAAATATGCAAAGATATGGTACATTAAATAATCAAATATCTATGACCAAAAAAAACTTACATCAAAGCATTAAAGGGTTGTGCAACAGACACAATATTAACACCTTCCTACGCTATTTATAATACGGTATAGAAGTGGCTACTAATAAACTTAACTCTGAATGTTTCCTTCTGCTAGGGCGAGCTAGTAATAATAAAAGCCGAAATTGTTGATACAAAAAATCAACAGAAAAATAACTCAAAATAGGTTGTCAAAATCTTCATAGGGAATTGTGCGAGTCCCTTGATTCAATAACATGCATTATCACCTATTTCGGAAGATTCCAAGAGAACGAATACCGGCATACACTGTATAGTGTTAAGGAATGCAAAGCTTGCATCCCAGAAATATAACTATATATTACAATTTTCTCAGTCTGTAATATTATCGAGTATAAACGTACCTTTGGGTTCAGAGGCTGTCACACTGTTACTAATGAACGACATACGTGTTATATACCACCCTTTAAATGGCTGTTTCGCTCCTCTTACTTCACCATATGTCACTCACATTAGTAGGTGTTATTTAATTAGTACATATCATATCGATTTTAATATTATAAGTTTACATAGTAACGATGTTCAGTGAGATGTCTTAGTTTGTTTACGTTCGCTTGAAGGTAGATAAATTTATTTAAGTCGTCAGTTAAGATGATATATTGTGTATGTGTATCTGATTTACGGATTGTTCAGCAGTATTGCACTGTTACATGAATATGCTGTATATGAAATGTTTACTCTCCGATGAATATTTTTATAGATTTACATAAAAAAAACTATAAAAAAATATTCATCGGAAAGTAAACATGCATATACTGAAAGTGATACATATATAATATTACACTGCCATAGCTTTGGCAACGCAGCGTGTTACCTAGAAACCTGTCACATTTACATCACAACTGTTGCTACCCAGTGCGTGTGCTTACAAGATAACTTGGTAGAATCCCCTGGTTGATCACAATCAGCATCTTGTTGGTCGGTGCATTCTATTATCTTTTAAGACATTATGTTATATGTATACTTGAGTTTCCGTTTGGATGTCGTCTGGTTTTGGTTCTCATTTGAGGTCCTTGTAGTTTGAAAAGACCGTCGTAGTGACCAAACCGAATCTGCAACACTCCTAGCAACTTGTGAAGTTTATGTTTGTTTCTCAAGTCTCACTTAATGATGCGTGCCTTGATTTTGTCTGATGCTAAGCCTCCTCTCGAGTGGTTCCTGTCAATAAGCAGTAGGGCAACACTGTGTACCGGCAGTCACTGTCGCTCGAATCGCGATCGCGAGGAGTGTTTACAACTGCTTGTAATCATTTTAATCTTGTTCTTAAACCGTTCCGTTGATCGTTCTGCATTTCACAGGAGTGATAAGGTTCGTTTTTATACCTTGACGTACCAAAGTCCCAATAAGTTTGATCCTCGATTTATTTAATTCAGTATTGACTAATCGTACAGTCACATGTCTTAGTCTCGACTGGAAGAGATGTCGTGCATGTACATTTAAACGACTCTTTGACTTTTCTTTTTCTTTCAAAAGCCAAACAATGCTGTTTCCGTTTATAACTTTCCATATACAGATTACGGCACATATCTGGAGCATGATACCTTTGTAATAGGAAAAAGTAATAAAGCAACCCGATTGGGTTCGGACTAGGGACTAGCGGTCTCTAGCCGGACATTCTACCGCTCGAGTAAAGTGAAATTCCCACTAACCAAAGGCAGTAATGCGATGTGTGCTCTCAACTTCTATGCCTTGTTGATATGTCCTAAAGACACTCCTTAATTGCCTGTCGCAGTAAAACAGTATACAATTACAACACACATCGTTTCGATTGAATCGAGTTGGCGAATCTCACAGGGAAGTATTTGAGTTGGACGTGAACGACGTTTGTTAGAATGCTTCGTTGCTCCGTTGTAGACCTTGTTCTCATTTATGAACATGACATTCCTTACAAGGTGGCGGATGCCGTCGATGAAGCTGAAGACATTTGTAATATGTTCACAAAACGTTTTTTTTTATTCTCTTTCTACTTTTTTCAATAATTTCCGCATGTTCTGATTTGTTACAGTTTTATTGATTTCTGAATGTTCTTTGTTGTTTTGTAAGAGTTGTTTCCCTTAATACTGTGTTCCAAGGGTTTTTTGCTTCTTATAATAGAAACCTTCTTAGTTGCGTTAACATTGTTCGTGTTGTCATCAGTATTGTATGTTGATATATTTGTCTTTGCATATGCTAGTGTGTATTTGTATCGCTCCAAATGTGTTTTAATTTAGAATCGATCGTAAATCGATCACTAACGACTGCTCCAGGGAGCAGTTATTATGTCGATTGAACACAACAGTGAGTCTATAATAACGATGTGCATGGTATCGTAAGCGGTAGCATCACTAAAATTTCTTTAAAAAGTGAAGCAAAAATCTCAGAGACATGTGACTACTGAAATTGGAGTATGCTTTTAAAATGACACTAAATATTCTTCAAACATTATATGTAAACCGGAAGCGGCTTTAACGCCATACTTGTTTTTCAGCGGGCGAAAGGTGACTGCTGACTTCATACCGGAGATTGAGCTGTAACATCATCTTCTATATATAGCACCCATTTAAAAAGTATACAACACACACATAAATGTTTCTCCTGTTTAAAATATGGTGTAACATTATACTGCTGTCACAACAGACACACAGAAATTGAAATGAAAGGTAACCTTCGGTTTCGCTGGCATCGTGCTTTTTAGCATAGACTGAACCAACATCAAGTGAAATGTTAAATGCTATACAGTGAAGTTGACAATTTCATTTGTTACAAAATGTTTGTATGTGACGCATAGGTATGTGTATTCTAGTTGGTTGAAACATTCGAATGCTATTATTTAGCTTTATTTTCATGAGATGTCGATGGCCCGATGAAGGACATCTAGAAAAAAAACAGATTCTTTAATTTCATTGTCATTGAGCATTCAGCGTGTGGCTGATCAGTTCAAACTAATGCACATGTACTACCATGGGTCAATCTAGAATTTTGGGAATACTATCCATCAAGGAAAAGAGGAATCTTTGGCCTATGTTCAGAAATGGAAAATATCGGACCATAATTTTGGTCTTGATTCAAAAGAGAGCTATGATCAAAGTATATGACATACTTGCAGATTACATGAATGAAATGGAACATTGTTGAGGTTAGGACAATATTTCTTTTTCATGATGGCATGATTTAAAAATAAACTAGAGTGAAGGTACAAAATTTTGCACACTTTTGGTTGGTATTTAAATTCGTTTCTAATATATCTGTTTTAAAATGAGACGGATTGTCTTACATGGTTAGATGTAGAAATCCTCCATAATATGTAAGTACGTAAACTGGTATGTGCATGCACACTACTGTGCATGGGTTATTAACTAGTGCTTTCTTCCTGGTTTGAATACGAGCGGAAATGTAATTTCGCACACTCACCTGGCCTCCTTATTTTTGTAGTAAAGCGTGGTTTTCAAATGTCTTGTATATAAAATAAATCCTAACTTAGATAAAGCCCGAAAGAATGCTTTTAAAGATGTTCAAAAGTTGATATATTTCATGGAATTGATAAATGACAAATTACCTCCAATGTACCTCCTAATACTGAATTGAAAATTCATTTAATATATATACTTGTCTTATTTTAGCATTTAGTAAAGTTGAAAGCTTATTGACCCATATTCATCAATAATAACTGATACCTGCCAAAGTAAATGTAAATGAGGTGACAAGTTGTGGGGCCTTGCTGTTATAAGCTGTATTTAATCGATTTTAAAATAATTTTAATTATAATCTCATAAAACAATATTTTCTCTTGATATATGGAAATGCGTAATCAAATCGGTCTCTGGGATTATTATTGATTAGGTATTTAATAACCCGATGTAAATAAACAAAAAAAAGCATAATCTATGAATAGTTGATTGAAACAGATCACCAAGTATGCGAATTTATGTATTGTGCAAAATGACATACACTTACTCTATGTAAAATATAGTAATAAGCTCTGTTATGGGAGAAATAAATTTACACATGTTTTCAGTAAATTTTCTTGATGGGTAATTTGTTTATATTCAGAGGGGAAAACATGTCACTTGGGGAATGCTACCATTTTCTGGTAGTGAAATTAGTTTAAATTATCTTATTCTGGCAACAGGTATGAAAATGAAACACAAACTTTATCACCCTACACACAATCCATTAGTTAGCATAGTGAGAGGGAAATCAACATATTTCCCATGCTGGTTAACTATTTAGTAATTTCTTTTCATGTTTCTTATTGAAAGATTTTGATAAATTTGATATAATTCTGACCCTGAATAGAACTATATGTATGTCAATGTTTGAAGGGTCTAGTGACGTGCTCATTTGAAGAGCATAACTGAGAATTCTACATAGATTTGACATTATAATCAAAAATGTTTACACAATAATTTTATCTGGCCAACCCATGTCCAACTTTACTAAGTCTTCTATAAAAATGTGTACAATAATTTTTATTTTTTTAATCTAAATCTCCCTCACTCAATCTTTTTTATAAATATCAACAGGGAACTTGGTACTTTATATGTTGATGACTTTATTGAGTGAATCCAAAGATATAGTATGAAGACAGATGCTTCACTGTGATTTATGCTATTTGAATAAAAAGCACATGCATTCAAAGTGGTCAATCATGCTTATAGCAAAATCACCACATGTAACCGATGACTTGGTCATTTTTTTTATATGAAACTGAAGCTTTATTTATATAATGTATACAATATTTGTATCCACCAGCCTTCTTTGTAGATATAGAGAAGACTTTTAAGTTTAATAAATCAGAAATATATGGGATCTTGATATCAACAGAAGTTATGGAATTAGGATAATTTTTCAACCAAATGAAAATAAAACTGGCAGCCATTACTATTGTTTTGATGTTGTTTCAGATACAGTGGCTATGACTCAATTGCTATCCCCAATTTGTCCACACCAGGACAGGATGATACTGTGTGTATGTGGATCTAAATAAGGTAAGTAGTAATGGCCTATCATCTGTTTGTAACGATACAGGCAGTAGAATACGAATTGGAGCTGTGTCAATAAAGAAATTGGCCAGTTTGATATTTACTAGGCAATCTTACAGTGAAAATAGTGAAAAGTATGTTCTAGTGAAAAACCAATATCTACCTATATTTTCAGCTAAAGTATCTTCCTGTGAACATGTAATTTAAATACAAGTTTTGTTACATAAACATTTATTTTTCAGTGTGACCGAATGGTAGACATCATGGCAACCTCTCAGGGGCAGAGCCAGGTGTCCGAGGCTCTGAAACAGTATGTTCAGCGGGACCTAAAGGACAAGCAGATTCTGGTGGTTCCTGAGGGCAAATACAAAGGCTGGGTTCCCCGAAGCATCTACAGTCTAGATTTGGATGAAGTCTATCTTCCTTTTCTCCGACTTCAGTCCTTTCCTGTAGGTGGGACTTCTCTTGGAACTTTAACTAAAATGAAAGTGTTTGAAGCTGTAGGAAATTATCTGTTCAAGCTTCCATCAGCATTTGGGAACTGTAAAGATTTAAAAACATTAAACCTGAGTTTTAATTACTTCAACCGTCTGTCTCCATCTGTTTTCAAGCTAGAAAATTTGACGGAGTTGGATGTTAGTAACAATGAACTTACAGAGTTATCATCTGATGTCGGCCAAATGAAGAATCTGAAGGCTTTGAACCTTAGTGGGAATATGCTGTCAGGAGTACCTGATGAGTTGTCTAAATGCAAAGCCTTGGAGAATGTTAATCTCTCCAGAAAATGGTACCCTCGGGATGGTGGAATGACAGAGCTACCAAGTGCAGCTTGCAGCCTGCCAGAATTACGACAGCTTGATGTCAGTTGGCACCAAATTCATACCATCCCAGATAATGTGGGCTCTCTCACCAAGCTGCAATATCTTAACTTGAAAGGTAACTTCTTAAAAAATGTATCGGAAAACATCACACAATGTGTTCGCCTACAAGTGTTAGATTTATCTGGAGCTATGAAACTCAATTCTGTGATTCCCGAGCAGATCCTTATGCTCTCTGAACTTAAAGTGCTTAATTTAAGTGGGAACTACTTCACTGAACTACCTAAGGAAGTGGCTGGCCTGAAAAAGCTGGAAAAATTTGTGATGAGAAGAAATGCATTACTACGACTCCCTGATTCTATTTTTGATCTGGAATTCTTAGAAACTCTTGAACTCAGTGACAACTATTTATATGAAATCCCCCCAGCTGTTCAAAATTTGAAAAACATTCGTTATATTGATTTACAAGGGAACAAACTGACTGGTTTACCAGATGAACTTGGCAGATGTTTCAGTCTAGTCCATTTGTCTTTAGCATGTAACGAATTAACTAGTGTGCCAGATTCCATATGCAGGCTTTTAAAATTACAAGAGTTGAGTTTAGATCACAACCAATTGAAGGAACTACCAATGTTGTTGGATAAACTAGCTCTCCTGGAAAAATCAGGACGTCTTAGTGTTTATGACAATTATCTTTCAAAACCACCACAAGAGATTTGCAATCAAGGAGTTGTCTCCCTTTTCCGCTTTTTGAAGGAGATGAGAATCAGTGAGGCAAAACACCGTCGTAAAATGATTCTGATTGGAGCAGCAAAGGCTGGAAAGACAAGTCTGAGAAATGCGTTGATGCTAGGTCACTCCAAACTTGCTGCTGAGCATGAAAGGACCTGGGTTTTAGAACGCCATCTGTGGGAGCCTGAACCTAGTCTGCGTGTACAGATCTTGGACTTTGGCGGTCATCACATATATTCTGCTGCTCATCACATGTTTTTGACTCCAGAAGCCCTGCATCTGGTGGTGTTTGACCTAGCTAAGTATGAGGAGGACAAATATGATACCATGGTAGGTGATTGGATTGATGCAATCGCTGATCGTGCCCCAGGGGCCCACATCATGGTGGTGGGTACACATGCAGATCTTTGTGCCAATGAAGAGGTGAAATCACGAATTAATCACATTATACAGAAGATGAGCGCTGATGAGAAGGCAAAAATTGATGATCTCAAGTTGTCTCTAGAGAAAGCTAAAACAGAACTTATGAATCTGACTGGCAAGGAAAGCAACACTAAATTTGAGGATATCGATGCTCAGAGGAAGCGGGACAAAGTCAGTGGTCTGCAGCGTGTATTAAATATGCGTGTGACCTTAGCCAGTAGAGTGGAGGTCGTCAGTTGTGCTGACACACTTGATGGCGTGGATAATCTGCGTGCATTGCTGCAACAGAAACTCAAAGAGACGGATGAGAAACCCCTCCCGAAGTCCTGGTACAAATACCTGCTTGGTATTCAAAAGAAAAAGCAAAAAATCCTGCACTGGCAGCAGGCTTTGAGTATATTTAAGGATATCATGGACACTATGAACCAGTCAATGATCTCCTTAGAGGGCTCAGCAGAGTCCAGTTTAGATATGGTATTGCGATACCTCCATTCAACTGGCGAAATTGTCTGGTACCACGATAATCCTCGTTTACGTAGTATTATCTTTCATCGACCAGAAACTCTAGTGGAAATGTTGAGGGCAATATTCCGGCATGACTTTGAGAAGGTCGTCCAATTTAATGATACTTATGGGCGATTAGCAAACTTAAGTCTACACAAGTTTGAAGAAATGAAGGTAGACTTTTTGGAACAAGGTCTGATGACAGTGGAACTATTACACTACTGCTTGTTACACTTCCAGCTTACCACAGATGCACGTGACATGTTCATCGACTTGATGCTCAAGTTTGACCTGTGTTATGAGGTACCAAAACTTGCTGGAGCACCTATGACCTTTGCATCCAGCAGGATCCTCCGTTTCCCATGGTTCCTCAAGAGTGAAGTGCCAACTAATTTCACTACGCAGTGGCCATTAGCAATTCCGTCGGACATAATTCAACTCTGTTATCGTCTCCAGTTTAAGAAGAGACTTCCACCAAATTTATTTGAGAAATTCTCCGCTCGTCTTCAGACTCACATCATGACTCGACATGACTGGAAAAATGGTGTGTTAGCCAAACGAAACCGCACAAAATTGCTTGTTACCAGGGAGGCTGTGGATGTGTCGTCTGGTGGTCGTGTGGATGTGTCAGTGTCTGTACGCGGAAGTGACCTACAGGAGCTGTGGTTAGTCATGCTTGGTACCTATGGTGACATGATCACGTTGCTGCAAGAATGGCCCTTCACTCGGTACGAGCAGTGGCTATTGTGTTCACACTGCCTGATCATGGGTGATGATGAGCCATTCCTCTACCCTGGCGAGGTGCTTCAGACTTTATGTCCTCGTGGCCACTATCAGTTAACATCTTGTAGAAAGGCCAAAGACGTACCTATTCCTGCCTGTTTCCTGTTTCCACTTGATCCTGGTAAGTTTTGTATACAAATTGATGTGTATGGAATAAATGACATGGTATTTTTCTAAATCTAGTTCTACATTGAAAATAATAAACATTGCATCTATTGATCATGACATTCAGTTGACCCTTAACCTTGACAGTTGGCAATATCAGAAGTCAAATTAAAAACTCAAAGGGTCAGAATGTATATGTGAAAAAGACATGTCCAATCAAATACATAAGTCAAAATTCATTAATTAATGTCTAAAACATAGTCTGATGGGTTTAATAGATGCCATATCATTGATGAATGAAGGAAGATAGCTGTGTAAATGTTTTCCCTTTGTAAAGGATATATTTTATATGTGTCAGAATATCCATGTTTATTACTCTGCATGCTGGACTCGAATATTAGTTTTCTGTCATATTTGTGGAATGTTTATAACTAACTGATATTCAAAAAGATCTCAAACCTTCATGTTGAAGTGTGTGTTAAACTGTTTATTAAATAAAATTACATATGTATAACATGCAAGAAATACATATTGCAAAGGAATATCATTTCTTTGCTTCTAGCAGTCTTGGCATAGAAGTCATGCTCTACAGCACTTTAGAGCAGAAATACTTATCATATCATTTACATGTTATCCCCCGCCCAACAAAGTTGTTGGGAGATATTTAAATGGGTTCTGTCCGTCTTTCTGTCCTTCCGTCAGTCTGTGCCGGATGCTGCTTTCCACATGATATCTTTTGAAGGACTGGCAGAATTTTTATGAAACTTGGTTGGTACACTTGTTACCTTAATCCCTTGTCCAAGTTTGATTATCGTCAAATTCTGCGCATATTTAATGAGGCTGCTATGACCTGATTGGCTGATTTTTTAATGTATATGTTTATGTATATATTTTACAAATAAACATGGGCTGGGGATCTTGAGGACTGCGTATTTTTTGTGAAGTGTCTTTCCTACATTATGTGTGATTGATAGAAATTGGTATATTCATACGAAATTACCAAGTGAGATCTGATTTTTTCAGAGTATCAAGAAGACATTGCGGAGCACATCAAGGTGGTGAAAGAGTTTCTACTCTCTACCTATGATACTGTTGATGGAGGAGGCAACTACATACAAAGTAAGCATTCATATTTATTTGCAGTGACATTAGTATATATTTCATTGTGATCATGTTCTGCTGATCAGATTTCTAAAACTTCTATCGAGTTCTCTCAAATCATACTTTGCAAAAGTGTACTGACAGTGTTATGTGTGTTTAGCTTACTCAAGCTGCAGAGTTTTCAATATTGATCATATTTACAGGGTTACTGTCAAACCTCGGCCTTAGCTACATCGCAGCCCGTTGTGGTGCTGAATGGTCGTTGATGGCCTTAGCATTGGGACTTACCCAGCCAGAAATAGAACAGATTCAGCTGGACAATCCCTACCAGACAGTCAAACAGATCACCACTGCACTGGTTCGTTGGCGGGATCGACGCCACAACACGACAGAGGATGCCGTTCTCAGTGACTTGCTAACTGCATTGCAAACAGCTGGTAGACAGGATTTGGTAGATGACCTGGAGGAAAAGTTCCATATACAGGGTAAGTATTTGTCATCCTTCTCCCAAAATATTGTAATTGTTCCCACACCAAAACACTCAGCAACGGGAAATGGCCCTAATTGTAAACAATAACATTTTAGAGGCAGGTATTTGGCTAATGCATAGTCCAGAGTGAGTTTAGTTCCCCTACCAATAATTCTTGTGATTTGTCAGAAAAGTGGAGATCTGGCTGGTGCAGATAATATCCTGTGTGTGTTACTATCAATGACTTTAAGAGACAAGAGCAAATTGCCTTTATCTAATAACGGCATGACATATCTCCAGAAAAATGTTGTTTGTAACATTTTGTATCAAATTGTTTTGTAATGATTGGTAATGAAATCAGAATAGCTCTCATATTTAGTTGTTTAATACAGAGGGACCAGTTACAAGTATACATGTTGACTGATTGCATTTGCCATCTAGTACTGTTGTAAAGGGAGGGTAATGGGCAAATGTAATACAATATTGAATATCTTTTGTTTTTGTTTCAGTGAACATTTAGTGGGACAGCACTACCTCATACTCAGTCAGCCTTCAGCAATGTTTTCTTAAATGTGACCAAGAAATTTTAAAGATTTGCTGAATAACATCATATTACCCCTGGGAATCGGATGGCTTCTGAGAAGAGATATCTCATCCCAGAAAAGAACATTAAGAAAACTATTGTTAGGAAGCTTTCACCATTAAGAAAACTCTTGTGAGGAGTCTTTCACCACTAAGAAAACTCTTGTGAGGAGTCTTTCACCAGTAAGAAAACTCTTGTGAGGAGTCTTTCACCAGGTAAAAAACTCTTGTGAGGAGTCTTTCACCACTAAGAAAACTCTTGTGAGGAGTCTTTCACCACTAAGAAAACTCTTGTGAGGAGTCTTTCACCAGGTAAAAAACTCTTGTGAGGAGTCTTTCACCAGGTAAAAAACTCTTGTGAGTAGTCTTTCACCAGGTAAAAAACTCTTGTGAGGAGTCTTTCACCAGTAAGATAACTTTTGTGAAGAGTCTTTCACCAGTAAGATAACTTTTGTGAGGAAGCTTTCACCAGTGAACATTTCTTAAAAAATGAAGCAGTAGTGGATTAATGCATTTATTTCTGGCCAGTGGATTGCTGTTTCATATTCATACCGATATGTGTTGGATTTTTTGTTTTTCTGAATTGATTGTCGTCAGAAATTAGAATTGTTCAATTACATAATATGTAAGTGTAGACTACAGAAGACTGAATACTCTGGGCTAATCCAGTCCACCCTAGGACTCCAGATTTTGTTTAGGACTGTCCAGTAAAACATCTATGCTACCCCAGGGTTTCAGGTTTTGTTAAGGATTATACCAGTAAAACATCTATGCCACCCTGGGACTTCCAGGATTTGTTGAAGGCTGTTTCAGTTAATGATCCATCCCACCCCAGGACTTAAAGATTTTTGTTTAGGTAAACATTTTTGTTTAGGTAAGCCATCCATAGAATTTCATTGGTAATTTACTGAGAGGTGAGAGGAAAGAAACTGAACATACGACATAAGTGATTGATTTTGGAGTCTTGGATCAAATAGATTCATTCCTTGAATAGCCCAAATCATTACAGAATTTGATGGCCCAATAAACACAAAGTTGTTACAATTTTTACAAAAATAAAAGAAAAAATATTTAAAGCTGCAGATGTTATACATAAAGTGAAGATATATCCTATAATATATTAAATTTCAAAATACCTTGTGAGTGTTTCTTGAAATGATTTAATTTCATGAACTTTGAGAAAGGAATTATTACTGATGCAACATGATATTGACTTCACAGATTCCTATTTGATCACATGATTTGCTAATTGAACTATGTTATATAACCGATTGTGATGTCAGGACATTGATTGTAAATCACTACACATTAGAATGAAACAATGTTCTAGAACCAGGATCATATCAAAACCAACATTGAAAATGTATCCTATGAAATACAACCAGAATTTGTAAAAAGCATTGAATCATGTGATAAAATGGATCTTGGATTGTTTCCATTTCATATGTGATTTATGAAAGAGAAAGCTTGTCTTTTTCTGCTCCTCATTTATGAGTAACTGTTAGTCAGTGCTGTTTTCCTCAGCATCAGAATCGGCATCCCATCCCAAGACATTTAGAGTTCCAGCGAAACCGTTTGAAAGGCTTTGAGCTTTATCATATTTTGGACAAACTCTTTTTGTATCAAAACACATTTTTATGTTTATGGGGTATGAAAAGCAGCTTTAAATTTTTTTTTTTCTTTTTTGCCCCCCCCTTTTTTTTTTAGGTGATGTTTACAATGCAGAATTTAGTGTTGTGAAAGTCTATATACAATTCTAAGTCCCCTTATACTTTGCAGGTATAGTACTTAAGCATTTTGCAATGTTTGTAACTAGTAAGCTTGGCCATCAGATATATAAGCATTTGTCAGTTAGATTTGTTTCATTATTTATATCATATGAAATGGAAGCAATTTAATATCTAGATGATAAACAATCACAAAATTTGGCTGGTGTTTTAGGGAGTTCCATTTCTTGTGGCAACTATAATTGTAAGTGCTGAAATACTATCGTTAAAAATCAATTATTGTGACGAACTGTTAAATGTCCTAAAATATATCATGTGACCAGTATCAGTAAGGCTACATGTTAAATGTATTTCTCATGCAGTAAGTGTAAACTTCTCCTTATGCATGAGGATGTTTGTATGTATATTATTACGTGAACTTGAGAAGATAAGACTTCTCATTGTTGAATTTTCAGTATTGCTGCTGTACGTATTATATTATAGTAGATTTACTCTTAAGATTTTCAGAGATAAAAACCCTTTACAAAAAACCTGTACTTTAGTATGCATCCTAATATGAATTTATGTTCTAAATATATATATTGTACAGTACATATAAAAAAAATTCTTTATTGTTGATTTCATTTAAAAAAAGATTTCATGAAAAGATATTTTATGAAAATCGTTTTTCTTTTAGAACATACCTCAGCAAGACGATCATTGAAAGGACATGAAAATAGTACCTCTTAATAGATTATATATCACATACTTTTATTACATTTGTGACTTTGTTGTTAATAGGTAATGTGCACTAGAATTTTAGTGTCAAAGTAGGTTTTCTTTCAACTTCAAACGTCAAATGTCCATGAAAACGCAATCCCACTGTTTCACTTTGCAATCACTTCAACAGTGGAAAAATTGTTGATACAAAGATATCTTTACTGTATACAAATGCAATTTCAATTGGTAATTTGATGCAGCCTTTCCAGAGTATTGTACCTGTATTATTTTCTCTGCAATAGAAAGACACCTAAGTAAGTCTATACATGCACCTGTTAAAATGGTCTAATTTCTTCCTTTTCTATCACAGATTTTTTGTATGTAATAATAGGATTTTGTTGTTATATTTTCCATTGTGCAATTTTTTTTAACTTTTGATATTAATTATATGTATTTCATGAAATAAATTGATGATTCACATTGTTTCATACTTTATTTTGCCAGAACCATGTGAAATTTTTTCTGTATGTCTACACAATAGATTCATAATTCAGAAATAACAATTATGATTCACTTATCTTTCCTGATACTACTTCATTATTTATACTAGTTACATTCTCCTGTGAATGTGATATATGAAATAGAATATTGATTTATATACATTTCAGTAAATTTAATTTACTTTCGCTGGGAAAGTATTTAATTTCTATCTAGCAGCTTAAATTTAATTTTCATCTTTTGATGTGAAGTATAACCTAAACACACAGTTGATTCCTATGGTTAATGCTTAGTAAATGTTTTTGGTGAAATTAAACACATATTCATATGGTTACTTTTTTATTTGACTCATTGTTATTTTCATCATGTTCATATGCCGTTGTGATCTATATACAACATGTATATTGCTGTAGGTATGTTTACTATACATACATGTACCAATAATCTCATCATCATTCCAGGTTCAGTCAACCATAACATTTTACCAGGATGATTTTTCAGCACTCGTTATTTCAACTTGATGCGGTAAATTTAATCTTATCGCTATAAATTTTTGTAACCTGCTATGGTATGATAACTACGTAAAACTATTGGATGTATATATCAGATAACTTCATTTCCAGAAGATTTCCAAAATTGGATATTCAATTGAAACATCGTTTAGAAATAAAGTCAATAAATAGACCGATTGCTTGTAGAAGGGAGATAACTCTGATGCAGCTTAAATAGTTTGAAGTGGTTTGTATATTATAGTAAAGTTTTATAAAATGTAACAAGATATTGAACATGAAATACTCATAAGCTAGTCAGTCTTAACAGCACAATTAAGTTTTACCAGCAGTACCATCAATAGATAAACATTTAAAGATGAGATTCTGATAAAAATAAACAAATCACAGGGAGTCGCTTTATCAAGTACTGTATCATCAAGTCACTGGATATCAGTATTACTTGGATTTCCATCATGAATTATGTAAACAGAGTAGCTAATCATGTAATAATATTATAGAAGTTTGACTTGTGAATCATGTAATTTATTATGTAAGACAGGTGAAACAGGTTATGAAATTGTGCTTACTTATATTTTTTTTAGATGCTATTAAATGGTAATGTGATATGTTTTCTTTACGTTTTTGTTATTGTGTACAAATGGTCATGTTAAATGACGTAAATAAACAGCAAACATATGTACCGGTGTGTTAAGAGGTGATAATGAAAATATGTATTTGTTGAAACTCAAACCAACAACTTCTCACTCTCCAGGCCAATGCCTTAACACCAAGCACAAGCGAATACTTGTCAAGTGAACTGTTCCCTCAATTACTTTTACAGTAGATGGTAGAAACGACACACATTAATAGCAATTTTCAAATCAAATTTATTATTAGTAATTGCTTTACAATCAAATCTATCATTTCACTTTGTACCTCATGCAACAAAGAATATCAGTAAGATTTAAATTAGATTTTGTCATTAGATACAGTATCCCCAGTTATCAAAGTAATCTGAAACTGTTTAATCATTCTTCGACTATAGATGGTAAAGTATTGCCTGTTACATACTTGATAACATGAAATGCTTGTGGGTACCTCCTTTTTGTGGTTTAAGCCTAATCCATACCTTTCACAGGTAAAATATTCATATTAACAGATGCATCATCCTTTGACATATAGTCTTAGTATTCCTTTTATTTTTGTGGATTTTTAGGGTGGTCGGGTGGCGCAGTGGTAACACACTCTCCTTTCACCTAGACATTCTTAGTTTGATTCCAGTAACAGACTTGAAAAGGTTTGGAATCACCTGCCTGACAATGTGGGCCTACCCTGGGTACTACCACTGTGAGATCCCTTGAATGCTTCCATTTCAGCAAACAAGAGTGATTCTTAACAGTTGGAAAAACTTGTTTCCCAATAATTGCAAAATAAATAAAGTTTATTTAATGCATTTGTGTGGTTTTCCTTTTGCCACAAAACCAACAAAATTTTCTACACGACAAATATTTCATTTGATACAGTATAGTAGTCATAGCTGCTCCGTGTAGGTAAAAGTAAAGATTTCAATAAGTAGTGATGTAGACTGTAACAGGAAGTGATGCCACACTTTGTGTTATCAGTTTGGTCTGCATATTACAAGGCAACCCCATTTCTTTAAATGATTTTACATGATCATAACTGATCTTGTGATGATAATTTGAAATATTGATCATGCCTTATATCAGAGTTGTTCTCTTGTCCCAAGTGAAATTTTATTTTTTAAATACTCTTCGCCTTTTTTAGTCGCCTTGATTTCCTCTTTCTATTTTGTATAGATTACAGTGGTGAAAGATTGGAACATTCAAACACTTGTTAGTTGATGTTTGTTTTGCCACTTTAAAATGTCGGAGACTTTTCACAACAATTATTAAAAAATCGCTTTAAATTTCAGATTAGGTTAAACTGCACAGATGAAAAATTAAAGTGAAACTGTTGATCTTAATGGATCATTTGTCGCTACAATTCATGGACAAGTTTGCAGAAATGTACATCACATGTGAAATATATATGATGAGTTACAATAAGATTAAGATTATTTCAATGAATTTCTATCATTGAGGTTAAAATGACTTGGGGTCCATACTATCAATTGCTGGTGTTTATGTATAAGTGTTTAGATAGAATACAAAGTGGTTGAAATTATTTATTTATCAGTGACTTCTGTAAGATTTTTTCAAAGCTTGTTTAGAACACAACGTCCATAATTTTGGTGAGTCCTATTACTAAGAGATATTGTGGGTTCTCATAGTCTGGGTGATAGACACAGGAAGAGCAAGTGACCAGGACTTAAATATCAGAGTCCCAAAAATCACTGATTAATGTATATTCTTTATTGTGACTAATAAAACTCTATTTGTACGTATTACACCTGTATATTATTTCATAAAATTACCCTTCAATATTTACTTGTTACTGAGATTTAAGATGCAGTATCATTGACAGCTATTTTATACAGCCTCACAGTTTTTTCAAATTCAATTGGTTTTTTATGTTATCACATTAGGAGTCGTGCAACTATTTTGATCCATAGAGTCTGGAATGTGTGATTTTTAGAACGAATATGATATAATTAATGTTTGGGAGGTTTGTTAATCTACGCATTTTAATTAAAGGATGTAGTGCTTATTGGGTAAATACTGTAACAGATAATGTGTTCTCTCCTTGTTCAAATTTTGATGTTTTATCAAAAGCTTCCATTGATGAAAAGGAATGTATTTTCCATTTATGGAAATCATGAATTAAACTAAGGTCTTTTGTGAATGTTATTTTCAAACTGTTTTGGTTTTGGTTTCTTTACACATCCTTAGAGATAAGAAAGAGTGGAACTCTCAAACTTTAGCAGTATTTTACAACTTAGATTTATGAAAAGAAAACACAAGTTTGTATGGTGTTAGAGCATATTATATACTTAAGCCAGTACATGATTTATCATGAAACACTTATTTTTAAAAAAAGTTATTTATTATGATGACACAAGATCACTGGTGTGAACAATGTGCACTATTTTTGTGAGTGTGTTATTAATCAGGATGCTTTAACAATTAAAGTAACAAGACTGATTGTATTTTTATTATTTCATTCTGGGTCTATTTTGATAAAACTTGAACCTGGAACAGTGATCGAGTGATATATTGACAGGGTAACACTTTGGTAAAATTTTATATTCTTTAAAAAAAAATTGGTAAAATTTTACATTCTTTATAAAATTTGGTAAAATTTTATGGAAATGCAATGAAATTTCTTTTTTTTATAATCATTAGATATATTTTTCTCCTCAAGTGAAAAAAAACCTATTGTCGGCCTTTATGTGTAAGGTAATTGGACATATTTTTCTCCTCAAAAGAGAAAACCTGATCATCAATGTTTGAGTTTCAGGTCACAAATAAGTCTTAGCTTGATCCAGTTAGCTCTGTCAAAATATTTGAGTGAATGTCAGAGTTGTTTGAATAAGTATGCAAGTTTACTTAGTGTAATGCATGCCAGAAAATATATATGCTTTTGTGTCAAAGTCGTCACGTATACTGGTAATGTTATCTCATTGAAAATATTTAAATCTATGAACTTTAAGCTCTGCTGTTTGACAAATAAACAGTTGAAGTCTTCCTATGTGTTTGCGTATTTTAGAGCTGGTTTAGCTCAAGCTTTTTCTATCCTGTATGCCGTTTCAATTTACAAAGTGATGTTTAGAGAGTTTTATTTCAAATACCCAACTTTTGTAAAAATGAATGCATCATTGTCAGTTTACTTTTGGCTCGGCAAGGCACCTGTGTGAGGTTAACATTGGCTTGGCCAAGCATCCGTGTCAGGTTGACATTTGCTCGACCAGGCATCTGTGTCAGATGTCTGCATCAGATTGGCTCGGGCAGGAGTTTATCATGTTAAGATTGGCTCACTCACGAGTCTGTGTCAGGTTAAGATTGGTCATTCAAGAGTGTATGTTAGGTTAAGATTGACTAAGGCGGGCATTTGTGTCAAATTAAGATTGGCTCACTTTAGTGTCTATGTCAGGTTAAGTTTGGCTCGGCAAGGCATCTGTGTCAGGTTAACATTTGCTCGACCAGGCATCTGTGTCAGGTTGACATTTGCTCGACCTTAAATCTGTGTCAGATGTCTGCATCAGATTGGCTCGGGCAGGAGTTTATCATGTTAAGATTGGCTCACTCACGAGTCTGTGTCAGGTTAAGATTGGTCATTCAAGAGTGTATGTTAGGTTAAGATTGACTAAGGCGGGCATTTGTGTCAAATTAAGATTGGCTCACTTTAGTGTCTATGTCAGGTTAAGATTGGCTCGGACAGGCGTCTGTCAGGTTAAGATTGGGTCACTCTAGTGTCTGTGTCAGGTTAAGATTGGCTCACTCACGAGTCTGTGTCAGGTTAAGGCTGGTTCGGGCAAGAGTGTATCAGGTTAAGTTTGATTCATTCAAGCCAGGATATTTTTCTGGTATTTGGATATATCTCAGTTAGATTACCTTTCCGAATTCATCGAAAAGGAACATTCCTTTTTTAAATCTATTCTTGGTTGCATTTAGGTCAAATCAGGCGGTTACACGTACTTTTGGGGAACTCAGAATTAAAAGTTAATCATAAGTATTATGAGCTGGATCAAATATGGCTGCTGAAGATCAGATAGGAGAAAATATTTTCCTGAAGACTACGAATGCGATTTTATCGAGGAAACTTTTGCATCAATCATTAAGCTCCAACATTCTCGTGACATGCTGTTATGATGATGCCGTTTGAAATGGGCGGGGTAGAATGGCTTACAGCCTATCGTCTACAAAAATAGTCATTTGGACCACGGGATGTTAATGATAGGAAAACCAAAGGTATACAGTTTGAGAACAAAAATAGTCATGAATAATTATCTTTAACATTTAGCATTTAAAACGCAAAGGAGAATTTCATGGTAGAATCCCTTCCACTGAAATATCGCGCCGCTACATTGGCCATAGTACGGGTATCCAGCTTCCACAATATTCTAAACTGTTAAACAACCAAATTTGTTATATTTAAATGTCAGAATGTAACTGGATTGGTCAGGTAATCAAAATTATTACCTTCAATTAAACAGAAAATCTATATTATTTGTTATGGAGAAAGGCACCAAGGCGAGGTCGCCCTTCACCTCCTGTTCGGTCATGTAGAAAACACATCGCATTTATACCAGCTTTTAGCTGGTCTCGATATGAGACATTCATTAACATACATTGTTTTTCTGTCCTACAATACAGTAATGTAACCAGTATACAATCTATACATGGAACAGTGAATATCTATTTTTACAATAGGGTGTCATAAAGTTTGGATCGGTTGATTTACCTCACGCTCCGGTAGATTTGTTGTCTTCCATGCCAGCATACAGTCAAGTGATTAATGTGTGATGATAAATATTTCATATCTTATACATCTATTCATAAAAAAGCAACGTATTGAATGTCTCTTCGTTGTTGTTTACTGGTGTGGAAACTTTTTTTTCAGAAATTTTAAATGAAGCGTGTTATGTTGAAATATATGTAAAATATATCTTATATTTATACTTCTTTAAAAATGATAATCGTCATCCATTGGACGTTACACATACAGACGGAACAGCCCGATAACTAATGGAATAGCAAAATAGCTGATTCTATTTTGGCAGCAAAGGGCGTCCGACCAGACAGATGCCGAAGTATAAACATCAGCTTTATTAGTACGCCTGAATAGTGAATACACACCGGAAATATTAATGGTTTCATTTTCTATTTCTTCTGGTACGAAAGTATAAATTTAAGGTTACGTCATATTGAGCAGTTTCAGTGTAGTACTAGCATGGTGGTTTGCCGATAATCAGTGAAGACGTCTTATTTTTTCCCCTGATTGTCTTTTTGTTCGGTGAATATTATACAAATAAAAAGTTAAGATAGATTAATGATGACGCGCCTGATCTTTACCGGTTTTATAATATGAAATGGTTGAACTGGGAATATGCAATTGATATCACAATTTAACAAAAGTCACGTGCAAGGGATTTATCCAATGGCAGAAGACTTACATCCACATTATATGGTATATTTACATATTAGTATAATTATTTTTGACAATTTGATAACGAAATGACGTCACGTATTCGCGGAATACGTCTTGACGTCATAATAACCTTATTGCGTCAAAAAGAATCCTACTTGTGTGACGTTGTATTGTACGTTTTCTAAATATTCCCCAAATTTATTCCATTTCATACCATGCTTTATAAAACGCGTCTTATGATTGAAAACGGTGACACGAGAAATGGAAACTCATGGGAATCCTAAATGTGCATCTATACATCATTGATAAGTATAACAGGAAGCAAGACAGAATTGACGTCATTATCTTGATAGCTACACGTATGTCAATATGACTAAGATCAACCAGAAAACTAAATTATTGGGCTTTCATGACCCTTGTCACGGATTGGATATATAGAAAATTTCGACAGAAACATGAACACTATTACATGTATAAGACTTCTGCATCGATACAAATCATTTTTACCTGTCAGTTATTTCTAATTTTATCTTCATAACATGGGTTGGTCCTCTCGTATGACGTTCAGTGAGGTAGACACTAGTTACAAGAGACAAAGAGAGATAGACTCAACAAACATACAATTGTACAGGCTTGTCTAAAGATAAAATCCATGCAGGACAGGTGTGATAATCAACATCCCCGGAAATGACGTGTTAAAACCATATCTACTATAAATATGTATTTAAGCAGTTTGGAAGTTATATACATTATTTATCAGCACACGTGTATATCTTGTATTGTATACGTTCAACAACGGGGATTACTCTGCATTTTCACTATGATAAAACATCCTTCATGTAAAGACCATTATTTTGAATTGTTCAGGAAGTAACCCTTTACTTTCTCTCAGGCGTCCATTGATATATATACATATGTCACAGCGATGCGAGTCAACATCAATATTTTAACTCGATCCTAAAGAATAGCAAGTTGTCTTTGTAATGCATTTTGAATGGCGTGTAACGGTTTGTGTTTTCCGTCCTGTCGTTTGGTAGTCAGGTGGCGACTCGACAAGAGAGATAAGCAAATACACGCAGGTCTGGTATGTCAACATTTGTTGTAATTGTATTGTAAATACCGACCATGGCCTGCTGTGGTGCCCTCTGACGATATAGATTTTGTCCCATGACATTTTAAATACGTATAGAAATGGTTGGTACTCACTGTTGTGTGGAGTGGCCCTGCGAGAAAGCCACGTATCGACCAAAGACCCCACCTACCTGTACAGACGAGATCGATACACGATTCAGTCTATACATGGCCCACGTGACCCACACCCGTTACCTTGTTATCGTATCTACTAAAAACTCATTATAATAAAACGCTATTTAAAATTACTATATGTTGTATATATATCGATTAACTTTCTTTTTAGATATATCGTTTTTGTTCAAACAAATATTTTACATTCTGAGTCGATGCCTAATTCCCCATTTGCCTATTACACCAGAATAAAAAACGAAAGACGAGGGACAGAATTATCATTAAACATTAAAATTTATCTGAACAAGGTTGCCATCAAGTGTGATAGTTACGTAAAACCACGATATTTTAATGTACATTACGGGAAATGTGAAACCTGAGTTTTCGATGAACAAGATTTTCCATAAATGGCGAATACTTTTTATAAGGATACAAAGGACATATATACATATTAAAATTCAAACTGAAAAACGATGACGTGAGAGTCAAATTTGATACAAGAGAAAAGATTAACACGGAGACTCTTGGAAAAGCACAAAACAAAAAGACCTGTTCTCAAGGTAGGGCTTTGTAGGACTCCTCAGTGATGCTAGGGCTTTAAGTATGGAAATCCTGATTTCAAGTAAGAGAAATAAAAAATATTATAATAAATATAAAGATATATATAAAGAGAGTGGTGCACTAACAACGTAATTCGTTAACTGCGTTGTACAATTAATATTTAGTCCACAGAATGAAACGTAAAGGGTTCATAATTTAGACAAACTTCCAAGTCAAAAGTCTACAAGCAAAGGTAACTACACACTAGTCCGGCCTATAAAGTCGGCTATCAGTGCCGTATTGTCACAAGGAGGCATCAGTTCCGTATTGTCACAAGGAGGCATCAGTTCCGTATTGTCACAAGGAGGCATCATTTTCGCAGTATCACAACGAGACATCAGTTTCACACTATCACAAGGAGACATCAGTTCCACACTATCAAAACGAGACATCAGTTTCACACTATCAAAAGGAGACATCAGTTTCACACTATCACAAGGAGACATCAGTTCCACACTATCAAAAGGAGATATCAGTTCCACACTATCACAAGGAGACATCAGTTTCACACTATCAAAAGGAGACTTCAGTTTCACACTATCACAAGGAGACATCAGTTCCACACTATCAAAAGGAAACATCAGTTCCACACAATCAAAAGGAGACATCAGTTCCACACTATCAAAAGGAGACTTCAGTTTCACACTATCACAAGGAGACATCAGTTCCACACTATCACAATGAGGCATCAGTTTCACATTATCACAATGAGGCATCAGTTTCACACTATCACAATGAGGCATCAGTTTTACACTATCAAAAGGAGATATCAGTTCCACACAATCACAAGGAGGCATCAGTTTCACACTATCAAAAGGAGACATCAGTTCCACACTATCACAAGGAGACATCAGTTTCACACTATCACAAGGAGACATCAGTTCCACACAATCAAAAGGAGACATCAGTTTCACACTATCACAAGGAGACATCAGTTCCACACTATCAAAAGGAGACATCAGTTCCACACTATCACAAGGAGACATCAGTTCCATACTATCAAAAGGAGACATCAGTTTCACACTATCAACAGGAGACATCAGTTTCACACTATCAAAAGGAGACATCAGCTCCACACTATCACAATGAGGCATCAGTTTCACACTATCAAAAGGAGACATCAGTTCCACACTATCAAAAGGAGACATCAGTTTCACACTATCAAAAGGAGACATCAGTTCCACACTATCAAAAGGAGACATCAGTTTCACACTATCACAATGAGGCATCAGTTTCACACAATCAAAAGGAGACATCAGTTCCACACTATCAAAAGGAGACATCAGTTCCACACTATCACAATGAGACATCAGTTCCACACTATCAAAAGGAGACATCAGTTCCGAACTATCAAAAAGAGACATCAGTTCCGCACTATTGCAAGGAGAGGATATACGAATGCCCCCGTACGTGTAACAGAGAGTTACCTTAAGCTACTTTTTAAAGGGGTTACTTACCACAATGATAACAGACTGTTACATCTCGGAGGAATCTCTAGGGTCAAGGTCAAGGCTTAAGTTACTCCTTCTAGAATATGCTTGTCGCTTCAATTCTTAAGCTATTTTCTAAAAACTTTCAACTCTCATATCAAAACAAATATTACACTAACAGGTGTGAGTTTCAGAAGCTAGCGACTTCATTCCTGCAGTTATTTCGACCCAACTTCATATTCACATAAAGGACATCAATCACCGACGAGTTCCAGGGTTGTAGGGTCAAGGTCAAAGTCAGCGATACTTTTTTTCAGAAAATCTTTGTCGGCATTCATTTAATTCTTTAAGCGAATTTCGATCAACTTCACACACTTGACCATCTTTTTTTTTTAATTAAGACATGAAGATTTGCATCAGTTGCGTTTGTCCATCCGATCGTCTGTCTTTCTGTTCGTCCTTTAGTGTCCCGAGCATAACTTTGCCCACAGTTAAGCAATGATCATGACACTTGGTGTGTACATTCGTATATTAAGGCAATCTGAAGTATGCCAAATTCAGGGCTTGCAAACCACTTAATTACAGAGTTATTGCCCTTTGTTAACATTCAGTGTCCAGAGCACAGCTTTTAATTGTTTGTGTTAAAATTAGGATATGAAGACAATATGCACTTTATCAAAATCATGACCTACGACCCCTTAATAACAGAGTTATTGTCCTTTGGTAAAATTTTGTGTTCACTTATATTAAGAAACTTGGTATATACATTGTCCATACTTAGATGATGTGAGGTAAGGCTGACAACTCCTAAGTTACAGATCTATTGCCCTTTGTTCAACTTTCTGCGTCCTGTGCGTAACTTTGCCTTCATTCAAACAAGGATAATGAAACTGTGTGTATCTATTTTTAATACTAGGGTAATATACAGTGTACAAAATTCAATGTTTGAAACCACAAGATTACATAATCCTTGTCCTTTGTTAAAGCTAAAGTTATTTCCGAGGAGCATTCCTCAATTTCGTTGAAACTCAAATTAAGTTTAGATATTGCCAAATCCAGGAAGATCAATACATAATGTACAATTCTATATTTACGTCCATGCATTATCAAAGATCAAATTGATAAATTACAAACGCTTTAACAGTGCAAGTTGGAAATATTCGACTAGACAGGACAACTTATTGATGAAAAGTATGTTCTCTCTTCCGTTTGAGTGCTCTTATCCTAATTTGACGATAATGCATACAAATTCCCATGTTAACAAGACGTTCAACAGACCGTGTTATTTTATTCAGGTAAAATGCAGTAAAAGCGACCAACCACGCCATACAAACACGCTCAATGGGGGTTCATAAGAGTTAAGGAAATTCAAAGCATACATATATGTATAAAGATTGATTGAAAATATTCATGAAGAAAACACCTTATTTCAATAATTGTGGAAATGGTAAAACTATTTCAATATGATTGGTTATGTTAGATTATTTATAAGTACCGATTGGGTTTATAGATAATTGGTTTTTAAGGATTTTTCAATCGGTATGACAAGGCCTAGTTTGGAAACAGATAACACATTATCCATACAAACGTTCCCGACTGTCTAGCACATATAGAATCTCTATTTTGCATTCATGGTCTGGCCCAGTCATTTTATCGACGACCGTAGACTGCTGCGGTAGGTTTGTTATTAATGTGGAAAAAAATACAGCTAAATGTAAGATGATATTGACAATGTACATGGCTTCATCACATTTATAAACGAACTAAATTCCAGATTGATCCAATTTAGATTATACATTAGCACTTCCAATTTCACACCTGGAAACATTTAGGTATCTGTCTTGCTGTAGATTTAATGGTTAAAGTGTTTAACTGCTCTTTAAGCCATTTGCTGGACGGATTTAATCCGAATATTGTTAATGCTGTGTTAAATTTTCACTTTGATATTATGTCACAGACAATTGTAGAAAATGTCTAGTCTGTGATGTTTTATTAACATATTATGTTCCCATACGCGTCTTAGTCAGTGCTGAACATCAAGCATGGTTTGCTGGATTTTATCACCCATGCACAGCCAGGTTGCCTCCATGTATTAGCTGGTGTCAATTTCACTGAACAACATACAGGAGGCAAGTCGCATGTCATCAAGTAAAAATAAATGTGAAGTACCTTGCCCATTGCCACAACAAATTGAGCACAGACTGGTCCACTTCTCCACCTCCATAGAAACACAAAGGACCGCCACTGGAACTTCGAGCAACACATCAGATCTTTACATAAGTTTACCTAGACCAACGCTCTGACACTGAATTATCTCGGCCAATGTCATATTCGGAACATCAAATACAAGTTCTAATGACTTTGTCATAGTATGAAACAGGACCCGTTAACACATTTTCTCAAGTTTTAAGAAAAAAGATAAACAACGTCAAAATAAAAGAAAAGGACTAAAGACACAAATCTTCTGCTGGAGTTTCTAAGACAAGCAGATTCTGACAATGCTTAAATATTTAAGATTTTTTATGTAACACCAAGAAAGATATGAGGGTTAACCAGGGACATATGAGGCCGAGAGTCAAGGAACATACTATCGACCAGGGTCATATGAGGCCGAGAGTCAAGGAGCACACTGTTAACCAAGGACATATGAGGCCGATATTCAAGGAATACACTATTAACCAGGGACATATGAGGACGAGAGTCAAGGAACACACTATCGAACAGGTACATGTGAGGACGATATTCAAGGAACACACTATTAACCAGGGTCATATGATGACGAGAGTCAATGAACGCGCTATCAACCAGGGTCATATGATGACAAGAATCAAGGAACACACTATTAACCAGAGTCATATGAGGACGAGAGTCAAGGAACACACTATCAATCAGGGAGGTATGAGGACGAGAGTCTAGGAACACACTATTAAACAGGGACATATGAGGACGATAGTCAAGGAACACACTATTAAACAGGGACATGTGAGGACAAGAATCAAGGAACACACTATTAACAAGAGTCATATGAGGACGATATTCAAGGAACACACTATTAACCAGGGTCATATGATGACGAGAGTCAATGAACGCGCTATCAACCAGGGTCATATGATGACAAAAATCAAGGAACACACTATTAACCAGAGTCATATGAGGACGAGAGTCAAGGAACACACTATCAATCAGGGAGGTATGAGGACGAGAGTCTAGGAACACACTATTAAACAGGGACATATGAGGACGATAGTCAAGGAACACACTATTAAACAGGGACATGTGAGGACAAGAATCAAGGAACACACTATTAACAAGAGTCATATGAGGACGAGAGTCAAGGAACACACTATTAACCAGGGACACATGAGGACGATAGTCAAGGAACACACTGTTAACAAGGGTCATATGAGGACAAGAATAAAGGAACACACTATTAAAAAGAGTCATATGAGGACGAGAATCAAGGAACACACTATTAAACAGAGTCATATGAGGACGAGAGTCAAGGAACACACTATTAACCAGAGTCATATGAGGACGAGAGTCATGGAACACACTATCAACCAGAGTCATATGAGGACGAGAGTCATGGAACACACTATCAATCAGGGTCATATGAGGACGATAGTGAAGGAACACACTATTAAACAGAGTCATATGAGGACGAGAGTCAAGGAACACACTATTAAACAGAGTCATATGAGGACGAGAGTTAAGGAACACACTATTAACCAGAGTCATATGAGGACGAGAGTCATGGAACACATTATCAACCAGAGTCATATGAGGACGAGAGTCATGGAACACACTATCAATCAGGGTCATATGAGGACGAGAGTTAAGGAACACACTATTAACCAGAGTCATATGATGACGAGAATCAAGGAACACACTATTAACCAGAGTCATATGAGGACGATATTCAAGGAACACACTATCTACCAGAGTCATATGAGGACGAGAGTCAAGAAACACACTATTAACCAGACTCATATGAGGACGAGAGTCAAGAAACACACTATTAAACAGAGTCATATGAGGACGAGAGTCAAGGAACACACTGGCAACCAGGGACATATGAGGACGAGAGTTAAGGAACACACTATTAACCAGAGTCATATGAGGACGAGAATCAAGGAACACACTATCAAACCAGAGTCATATGAGGACGATATTCAAGTAACACACTATTTACCAGAGTCATATGAGGACGAGAGTCAAGGAACACACTATTAACCAGACTCATATGAGGACGAGAGTCAAGGAACACACTAGCAACCAGGGACATATGAGGACGAGAGTTAAGGAACACACTATTAACCAGAGTCATATGATGACGAGAATCAAGGAACACACTATTAACCAGAGTCATATGAGGACGATATTCAAGGAACACACTATCTACCAGAGTCATATGAGGACGAGAGTCAAGGAACACACTATTAACCAGACTCATATGAGGACGAGAGTCAAGAAACACACTATTAAACAGAGTCATATGAGGACGAGAGTCAAGGAACACACTGGCAACCAGGGACATATGAGGACGAGAGTTAAGGAACACACTATTAACCAGAGTCATATGAGGACGAGAATCAAGGAACACACTATCAAACCAGAGTCATATGAGGACGATATTCAAGTAACACACTATTTACCAGAGTCATATGAGGACGAGAGTCAAGGAACACACTATTAACCACACTCATATGAGGACGAGAGTCAAGGAACACACTATCAATCAGGGTCATATGAGGACGATAGTCAAGGAACACACTATTAACAAGAGTCATATAAGGACAAGAGTCAAGGAACACACTAGCAACCAGGGACATATGAGGACGAGTGTCAAGGAACACACTATTAACCAGAGTCATATGATGACGAGAAACAAGGAACACACTATTAACCAGAGTCATATGATGACGAGAATCAAG